TGCACGCTGTGAGACAGACCAGAAAAGTTTACAAGTGTACGCCGGATTGCAGTGCCTCTTCGAGACTAAATTTATTTTGCCATCTACATGTTTATCTAAAGGCTTTTGTGTCATTTGGTTCCTTGGGATTTTGAACACGAAGCATTTCAATCTAACCATGTACTAGTATATGGACTTCACAGTCCACCAGATCATGACATATACAGGGCACATGTACTGAAACTATTTGGGAACCATTATTTTTTTGAAGTTTTGCCATGTGCTTTCAGGAATGGAAAGGCTGTTTCTGAGAAAACTAGCACAATGAGAAGACTGACCACGAAATAAACCCTCACACAGCCGTGCTTCACAACATGTGCTTACTCAGATTTTTGAGTCTCTTATTTCTCAAGTGACCCCCCCCATTTTGAAAATGACCCTGTCAACACCCACCCAGTTTACACCTAACCACTAACTGGCTGTAACGGTAATGGATGCCTTGCCAGTCAATCTTGATTTATATTAGCAGTTAACAACCTCACACCTTTACCTTCGCCAACTCTCCCCGTTTCTGCTTGACTGATGATCGTCAGGTCATTAACCTCATAAGTTTCTAAGTATTATTTCTGTCTTCATAGACGGAGGCCAGGTGCAGTTCTGTGTCCAAAAGTACAGTGAACTCTCTGTCTTAGAGAAGCGAGGTCGAGCAAAGGGCAGTTAAGTTTGGTATCATGGATGCTCCACAACTGTAAATCACTCGTAAATGTGTCCATGGAGGAAGGAATACATGCAGATGCATCATTCAGGACACCGTGCTCAGCTTAAAAATTATGATTTTTAACAAGTCCACGCAGTTTTACTGGTATGTTCTTCAACAAGGAACCAAAATGCAACTCCACGTGTCATTTTTCAAAATTTTTAAAAGACCGACTTTGGTCATTTACAAGTAAAACACAAAATTGCACCTTCAGATTTATAATTAAAGGATTATTTGGTGATAACTAGGCAGACTGTGTCCTTGTAGATGTACATTTGGTTAGCTACTAGTGCAAATCAAACAGAGTTGAAGTCGTTAAAAGTAACATGTTTACACCAAATGACTTGATTTAAAAACTTCCCTCAACAGAAAATTGAGCATACATGTATGTATACATGCATTTTTCAACAGATGTATTTTCAAACCTTCAGAAAGACCTTGAAAGAAAAATGTGCCCGGGAAAATACCACAAAATTGACGAAAAATGAGACGAAAGATTTGGCTCTCCTCATTCTCTGTTAAAAATCACTCCCACTATACCAGCAAATCTACATGTACATGTACACGCACCAGGTCTCATACCCTTCAACCATTGAAAATAATCTTTTTGTTTGGCTGCCTCAAAAATACACTATGTAATGTGTTCAACATGGTCTTTGGGAACGTCATATTTGACAGCATTTTGATGATGTTACAAAATTTGGACTGAAAATGTACCGAAAATGCTGTCACATGCACCCTGTAGTGCTTGAAAATTCTATTTACATGTATGATGTTGATTTTGCCGTTCGTTTTGGAGATATCCCTGCTCAAAATTAAAACAAAATTGAGAACTTAGAGCATAACATCTTGAAAATTAGAGCGTGTCGTTTGGAACTGCTGACTTTGGGACCTGATAAATTGTGAGACATGTTTTTTAATTGTGTAATTATGGTTTTGATATATGTAGTATGTAAATATCATTAATTTTGGATTTTTGCCCTGCTCGACGTGTGTTATAACACTGTATACTCAGTGTTTGCCGCCGAAGGCTTCTGAAAAAACCCACAAGCGTACTCGGGTGGGACTCGAACCCATGACATCCTGATTACTAGTGCAGACGTCTTAACCACTCGACCACTGTCAGCTGGCTGGTTTGAGTCAGATGTAGCAGAGGGTACTGCGAAAAACTATTTCCAAGGATGGATTTGCGCTGATTTTTCCACAAGCCTTCGGGGGCAATCACTGAGTATACAATGTATTATTATACACGTCGGGCAGGGCAAAAATCCAAAATTAATGAACTTCCCCTGGTACAAATCCATCCTTGGAAATGTAAATATCATCTTTCACCACAAACAAATCCATTCAAAATTACCACAGGAACATTTACTTCCTGGTAACTTTTAGTTGGCTAGGATCGACAGGTTATTTATGTCCTTCAAAACTCTTGTTAAGTTGAAAGATGGGCACAGTCATCATTGTTCCTGATATCAGTCATGACTCCCCGCATTTCATCAGACATTGTGAATTTATTCACCGCTGTTCACTTCAGAAATGAAACCCCCAAAGTTAACATAAGTGGGCCATACTTTGTGGAACCTGCCTGCTGTCAAGTATGGGACAACATTGAAATACACTAAAGGTTCTTTGATTGCACATTTGGAGTGATCTAATTAGGGTTTTTTATCCAAACAAAGATGTGAAGTAGAAAAAATTCGTTAAAATATATAGTAACTTACCATGTGCACTTACTGTACAGTACTAATACAAGTACATGAACAATGTATTTAGGATTATTGATCATCGCCATGCACAGATTTTACACAACTTTCATGTACATGTAGGGCTACAAAGTCACCAACATTTTTGTGATACAATTTATACATATTTTTAGTTTACAAATTCAGTGGAGGGTATTGTTGAAGATTCCTACAAAAACATTCTCTTGAGTGTCTTGTACTGGTAGTATCTACCGGTCCTTTACCGGGTACGTTACTTTAGAAAGATGACCTTTAAATTTCAGCCCCTGTGTTAGTGAGTTCCACAGTAGACCTCAGACACAATGATGTTGTCACACCCCCACAAATCTGTCCAAATTGTATACTTGCATATGTACACAGTGCATGTGATTGTGATAGTGGGACAGTCCCAGCTGTGCTATATAGCACCACAGATGGGCCAGCCCAACTGTAGCACTGTGTGCCATTGTCTGCCATACATTACCTGTACCAGTAAATTACGTCAGTGTCAGTTTGTCTGTATGCGTGGAGAATGTGTAGTTACAGTACATGTACATGTACAATGTAGGTTGTATTTGGGTCATGGATGAAATACCACGTTGAGGTAATTTTTGATTAATTCTGCTAGATGTGAGTGGCAAAACACGTGAAGGTTGAGAAATTTTCTATAGAAATTTGCAAAGTACCAGTACATGTCTAAGTAATTGGGCCGGACCTAGTTGGGACCATCCTAACTACATGCACAGTGTTTGTACATGTACATGTACCCGGCAGGTGGGTAGGCATCCACCAAGGTTAGTTAGGATCTTAGAATAGAAAGTGCCCATGAAAAAAAAAGTGAGGTTGATTTATCGTACACGTAGAAGGTAGGTCTGTTTGAACACATTTATTGCAGAGGCCAAGAGGTACGGAAACCCTGCAAGTTGCAACAGGAATTGGAACTGCTGATCTGTAGTAAATGTTTTACGGGTACGTGGAATGTGCCACATTCGGGGCAGTTCTTTTGCAAGGTTTGGGGATGGCTTTGAAGGGGATACATGTACATGTATTGCACAAGCTGTGACCATATTGCCCTCTTTGAAGACAGATGGGCAATTCCACGCAAAGGTGGACACGAGGGTGAAAATTTAAAATTCATCACAAACGAATTTGGTCTCAAATGAATGCTGAGGGTCTATACTTTACTGTGTTCATGTTGTAATGTAATTTTTTCATTATTTGGTTGTAAAAATCAATGATTATGTAATTTTTTTTTCCAAAAATGAGGAAAATGATAGGACGATGAATTGCACCCTGTGTGTCTAATAAAAATGGAAGTTGGCTGTATTTGTGGTTACATTAAGTGTTCAGATTGTTTAAAGGATATCTGGTCTGTGTTTTGACCTTTGCGGCATTCGTTATGTTTCAGTGGTCTCAAACATTTTGCCCCACTGGAGTGTCCTTCCGTTAACGTAAAAGTACATGCTTTTAGTATATTTTCAGATTTGAAGGAAAAAATAATTAAAAAAGACCAATGCAAAGTAAGTTTAGGTAGACCTACAACATCATACCATTAAAGTCATTTTTTTGCCCCCTACTCTTTTAATTATAGCTAATTAATACTTGCCCTTGGTTGGTAACGGAAGGACCAAAACAGCCGCTGAATTTTGTTATGACTGATGTTGTGACATCAGATCACAACTAAAAGTGTTAATAGGCTTTCCAGAGTTATACTGGAGAGCTGATTGCTTTCTTCAGGTATCGATTGTTTTGCTTATTAGACGCCTTTCAGTGCCATACTCCATCACATGTACTCAGGAAATGAGTGAGTTGTCTTGAACGTGCCCACTTTGTAATGTGTGGTTATTTAACTGTACAGCATTCAGTGTGTCTACAACTTGACTGGAGCAGTAAAAGAAATAATCTTCATTGAACAGAACGGTGTACTTACAAATATATTAAATTAAAAACACCCCCCCAAAATTAGAGACTAACCCTAACTATGCTGAACCCAACAAGGTTATGCAGGATTTCTGAGGTCCCAAGGGGGTTAGGGATAAATTATATGTAATTAAGGAGCATTTGCCAAGTTTCAGACATGCTTTGCTTATATGTTCAGTAACACTGAGTACAGTCTATTGAGGACCAAGATTCCATCCAAGTTCCATACATATATACGTACAGGTAATGGAATTTTAAGCAATTTTAAACAAGCTGACCAGTCTTAAACACATACAACAGTGTATGCACACCAGAGACGTACATGTATAAACGCATAGACCGCCAGGTCCTATCCAAACTACAGGGTTTTCGTTATCTGCGTGGCGCCCGACTAAAATCAAAACTATAGGCAAATTCACCCCATGGTGTAGGGAATTTACGCACAGTTGAAGAATTCCAGCCAGAAAATTCTATGAAGCCATTTTTCAATTGTAATTTTATCTTTTCTGGCTCAATTTATCTGGCTCAAAGGGATTCAAAACAAGGCAGTTGCAACAGTTGAAAAGAAGAGATACGTGTAAGAGCAACGAAGAGCAAAAAGGAAAAAGTAGGTTGGGAGAACATGTAAACAAATACAGGAAATATAAGTGCATTGCGCGTAATGCGCACTGAATGCACTGTCATCTGTCGCTTCGTGCATTGTTTGCCCATACTTTTCAAATTCACGGTTATATGCGAAAGACTAGTGGTCTATGCATTTATTTGTCTGTGATGCACACTGTATGTACATGTATGTAACCCCTACAAATGTACATTTAGATTCATGGGAATTGTATGATAACTTACATGTATCCCGTGTACATGTGACACCCAATTAAGATAGTGTACATGTTGAATTCATGTTTTGGACAAGTTTTATAACAGGCAAAATCCATTTTGAAACCAATCTGAAACACAATGACTATATGAGTAGTCATTCTTTTATATTTTCTATTCGTTACTAGCTGATAATTAGTCACTGGCTTAATTAGTGTTTAATTGGTTGTTTATTGGGATAGTTTAAACTTAAAAAGATTAGTTTTAAGTCATGTTATATTGTATTACTAGTTAGATTTTTATTAAATTGCACTTTCCAACAAAAATTATCTACAACTTTCACTGCGTACAGTGTACATTTAGTAGATTGAGCATTCAATTGTCCTTCCGTTACCAAATCTTAATTAATGTTTTTTGTTATTATGAGATTACCAAACATAAATCAGTCATTTTAAATAAGGCTGAATGTTCACAAAACATCATAGATTGTATTTAGTAACTTTGAAATAACATTGGCAAAGAAACTTCACGGAGTTTTGAGAAAATGTGCCATACTTGAAATATCCATGTCGGTTTTGATGTCCTATTCTGACCTCATTAATATGCATAATCTATAAATGACAAATAAGTCTGATCAAAACTTTGGCGGAATTGAAAGGTTTTAGGTGTCACCATGTATTAACCGTATTAACTTGATTTTAACAAAAAAAGTCTTCGTGATATTGTGTTAAAACATGAAAATGCTGTCTGAATGTCCTTCTGTTACCATGGAATTGCCCTAGAGCAATATTACTGTGGGTGTAATATACATGTACCTGTACGATCTGGTGCTGTTTACTGGTTAACAATTGTGATTTTCTAAGTTCTTGATTGACTGGGAATTAGGCCAACTGATTTCCTGGACCATCCGGCTGTGTACTCTAATAACCACAAGTAAGCGGATCTACATGTACATGTGCATGTATTTTTAGAGTGGTACGTAGAAACCACAAACATACAAGAAGAACATACATGTATTTTGTGAAATGTTCAATCCGCATTCCCTTACACTGTTACCTGAAGTTACACAATTTGGGTCTAAACTTTCAGAAACGCGTTTTGAATTTCATCGGAAATCCTGTCTTTCAGGTGGTCTTTTTCAATACATTTTTTTCAATTTCCCGTAAAAAAAAACCTGAGCTGTCTCATCCAAGCTATAGGTAAGCTTTACATTATTTTTTTGTTGATACATGTACTTGTACATTGTAAGTCAGTACCTTAAACACACGTTGAATCCCCTCGCCCAAAAAAAGCCCCATTAACAAAAGTGAGGGAACAATGGCATGTTTGCGATATTTTCAGTGGGGAAGTCCTGCTGTCACCCCCAGAAGTTGTAAAAAACCAGAAAGGCGGCAACCTTTTAGTGATGTCAGATGTATATTAGACACAGCCCAGGTCATGTGCCCCCAAGCGCCTTTACTTTCTGGTATATATAAAAGTAGACTAATTGTGGAGTTATTGTAAAAATTTCAGTTTTGTTTATGTGTATGTACATGTCTACCTGTTGTTATTCTGCAAGCAAGATACGTGTTGTTAGTTACTGGTAAGTTACATAAATAAGGTACATAAATATGGACTCCATTGAACAAAACGGTATTGTGTGCAGTGGTTGTAGATTTTTTATAAATTTGATTTAAATCATTGTGACTTTAAAATCAAACAATATTGTGCGATTCTTTAAACTGTAAATATACATGTACAGTAGGCTAACTCCTGTGTGTATACAACAGGTCATTTCTTGGAGATGCTGAAACTTTTAGAGGTGGATTCGACTAAAGTTGAGGAAGTACACTGTACAGTATACACAGGACTGGTTATGCCTTTACAAGACTACATGTATGGTTACTCGTACATGGGTCATTCTACAAGGGTAAGGCACTGCTTGTGATGGTGTCAGTTGTTCATTGGTTCCGTAAAGAATGAACAGCTATTTCCCTGCATGCGGATTCCAAAATGACGTTGTTGTACATCTTGCAAGGCTGAAGACAGAAGTGTGTGTGATTTTCACAGAGTACATGTACATGTAATTGTAAATGACGTCATGACAGAGGGGAAAAATTTCGCATGCCCTGGATGTAACAAGTGACACGGTCACAAATTGTGCTCCTTGTAATTACGGAAATGAAATGTAACCAATTCCCCAACTGTGCTGACGGAGACTGTTCAAAAAACAAATGCACTGGTATACATGTACACGTACACTACATGTACTGGGACCTTTTATTTCAGTGCCACTCGTCTTTAAATTTTATTTCAAATTGAAACAACATCTGAAAAACTGATTTTAGTTTTAGAAGCACCGGGGTACTTGATTGCAAATTTCAGTTTTATATTTTTCATGTTTATACATTTGCCAGTTTTTAAAAACATTTTTGCATTTCTGTGGTTGACAGATGTACCTTAGCAAGGTCCATTTCATTTCTCTACACACAGGTTTTTCACATGCCTGAAAACCACACTGTAAAAAAAACCCTCTCCTGTAATGTTAAACAAGCTCGTAAATTAGAAAGCAATGTCAACCAGCCATCTGTTGTTAGAAAATAGAGAGAGAGAAAAAAAACAACAGGGGTTGTTGCCCCAAATGCATTGTTTGCAAATGAGGGAAATGCAGGATAGCAGGACCACAGAATATCCTAAGGGTGAATCATCAGGTACATTGTGATTGTGCATGCACATGTACCCTGTAGGCACTGTATGTCCATCATAGAACCAGGTGTCCGGAAACAGGATGTTCACTGGAACAATTAATGTGTAATGTCTGCTGTTGACTGACAGTCAGTGGATGAGTTGTTCACACTTGCACAGGTGCATTCTGCATGTTCATGTACGTACGTGTATGTAAATGTACATATTGCTACGTGTTTGGTTTTCTGAGAAAATGTGTTCATACCCCGGTGCACGCACTGTACACAATTTTAATCAATTGTGTTGCACAATGTTCCTTTTCACAAAGTTATGATGAACAACTTAAACAGGTGGACTGATATTTCCTTATACATGGACGGTAGTTGTCCTATTTGACACGCATTTTATTCATATTGAAACTGTGTACTCTGCTGTATGTACATGTAAATATACCGGTATCATGATGCACAAATTTATGTTCTTCATGTCATTGCAAAAAGTGAAAACAACTGTGACAAACACTCAAAATAAATTAGCAGTAATTAGAAGGCAACGACCAGGCAGAAAAATCTGCCGGTACCCGATATATGTGTGATGGGCATTCATCTTTGTCTTCACTGTGCAAGCAAAATGTTTTGGTTTTTTTTTGAAATTATGGAGAAGTTTTACAAAAAAATTTCTGTCTTGAAATTTACGTGTACATGTGCAAAACGGAGACAGCTTGTATTCCTTGTTAAGAGACCACAGTTTATACAAACATGTAGAAAGGTTGATTGATGTACATTGTAATGGACTGTGCTCTATGTATCATGGGAGTACCCGTGGCTTATTTGCATAATTCACCGTTTCGTGGAAATCCAGCCGCCCATTGTCCAGATTGCAATTAGTCTGTCAGAGCGACGTCTTGTGAGGAGGCAGTAGGGTACATGTACATGTATTGTGTACAGATAGTCTGAGACAATGCAGTACTTGGGCATTGTAACAGAAAAAAAATTGCTCAAGCTACAGTACATGTACAAAGGTGTCATTAGATTGTCTGGGTAAGTACTTGTATGTATTATCATGAGGTGGAAGGTGTCTGGGGACATACCGGTATGTACTAAAATCAACCAAACTTGATTTACAAGTGTAAGAAATGACCAATTCCCAGTTTGTCAGGGGTGCATACATGTACAATTAGTTTCTCAGTGCTGAGCTTTAATGCCAGACAAGAAATGTACATTGTACAATTCTCTGTTGCACCAAAAGCAAAGTTTAATTTATATATACATGTACATGTTCATGTGTCGTTGAAAGAAAAAAAAAAAAACAAATTAAAAGAAAAATATTGCATTGACATTTGACAATGCAAAATCATATTTTCACTATTTTTAGCTTTTCCTTGTTGTAAAACTGGAAATGCTGTAATAAGTGAGGGCAAAAAACTGTTGTGAGTAGGATTTGGGGAATTCGACCCCATCACCGTGTTTATTTGTTCCTGCATAGTTTTGCAATTTTTTGCATAGCTCTTGCACACAAACTGTCGGGTGGGAGTGCTTATGTGTAGAGTGTACTTTGTACGCTCACATGCCAGTCATGTTCCACCAACACAATGTGTCCCTTCATGTTTTGCATAGTTTTGCACAATATGCACACCATCAGTAATGCACACACACATGCATGCACTGTACGTACATGATCACCTTGAATGCTCACTATTTGCCTTGAATGCTTGCCCGACACGTACACGTACATGTACATGTATGTTACATGCTCGTGCACTGGTACTGTACGTGAGTTCAAGGGGGCGGTCGGTTAAACGTCAACCAGCAGAGAGGAGATTGCCCTTGCTGAACCTTAAGATGACTCATCTTCCATCCCTCATCTCATCTCTTGGAGGATGCGGGCCGTGTGTGATGTAAGAGGTAGGATGCTGAGCCGGGAGGGGTTTGTTCTTCCCAGATAAAGGCCTGCTGAGTGGTTGTCGTGTCGTGGCACGTCTAGTGTTTGGTGCGTTTATATGTTCACTACTTCCAGATAAACAGGATTTGGAGTGGAATATTCTGGCCTCCATATAGTCATCAGCTGTGTGTATATTTTGCTGTCTTAAAGACAAGAATTCGTCACTCACAAGGGTAACGTTTCCTCTACGGTGTACATGTAGAAGTCAGGGGTACTTAAATTCTGTATCAGTACGGTAGGTGTACACTCTAGACAGTGTAATCAGTAGACTGTTTAGTTTGGAATTGTTAGTTTCTGCATTTTACACATGTACAGTGCACCTCTTCTGTACATTTTTTTTTCTTCAAATAAACATCAGCACAAATGTTTGTAGTGATTTGTGTATATGAAGTGAATGCCACACAAATTGTATTGTGTACCACACACATGTACATACATGATAATGTAACAAGGCAAAATGTACATGTATGTATGTAAACTTGTACGTGTACATTTCAGTTAACCCTAACAGTCCCAAATTCTCCCATTTCAATACGATTTTACATACACGCCAGGGGCTTAGGGTTTTAATATTCATGTAGTGGTACATTGTACATGTACACCTGTACATTGTACATTGTACCTTTACACATGAACTGGTACCGTACATGTGCCTAAAAAAGTACATGTACATGTACATGTACGGTTCCTTTTCACATTTTGCAGACAGTCTGAAATTAACGGTATGTTCTTTCAAACCAACATTCATAATGTCCTAATGTGAATTAAATATACTGTAAATCATGTTAATTGTTACTGGGCCGACCGGTCTGTTGACATTTTCATCTATTGTACATTTATACTTTAGTATCATGTATTGGATTCTTATTATTATAGATGACATTTTATTATTTTTGTGACACCAAGTTGTTCTCTATTTGTTATGCTGTTGGTTAGATGCTGATTTCAATAGATGTTACAGACTTATCTTTTTTGGTTTTGTACAGGCTAATTGATCGATTGTTGTGAAACTGAACTCTAACTGCGTGGTATACTAGTGACCTACCAAAGCTGCATTGATTAGCAGTGTGTAACCATGGACTCCACACCAGACACTGGTCACCAGCTGGCAGACGTCCGGCTGAACTCGGCAACAACGCTGGAGATGGAGACATCCGGAGAGATACCTTACATGGATGCGGACGAGCCCGCTCCATCTCCCCCCTCCTCCCGATCGGGAACCCTAAAGGCCCGGAAAAGCTCCAAGGGGCGGAGCCCTAAATGCTCCCCACTGATGGTGAACAAGGAGAGCAGCATCCCCATTGTCAAGAAGGAGGCAGAGAAGGTCATGGAGATGTTCTTGAAGAGGCGGAGCATGAGCATGAACGATGCCATCCTGCAGAAGGAATTCTTCAGTCAGGAACGGAGGAGAAAGAAAGACCGCGCCCCACGGAATAACACAGTCTCGATTTGTTCCACAATGAGCACAGACTCCAGCGACTACCGCAACAGTGGAGATTTTGAGGAGGCCACCCTGACAAGAAGCAAGGGGAGCTTCAGCAGAGCTTTGGAGAACTCTGTTTTGCCGGGAGATGTGCGGCGCGAACAGTCATCGGCAGACGACGAACTGTCATCGTCTGATCATGAAATGGACAAGGAGAAGTCTCGTTCAGCTCCGTCCACCCTTCGCTTGCAGGTTGGTCGGTTGACCGAGGAAGAACTTGAAAAACTGCGGGAAGCAGGCAATGGCTATGCCCAGCATGACAAAGATGGCGTTAAGAAAGATGTGAAGAAGAAGGACTTGCCCAAAAGGCGGAAAAGCCTGCTGGACAAAGCCAAGCAAATCATTCGCTCTCCTAGCATGCAGAGGAAGCATGACCACTCAGAGGAGAAAGAGGCCCCAGTGGGTCCCGATGAAACCTCGGCCAGTCGATCTAAAGTCCACCAAGAGATGAAGCGTACTGGCTTTGCCAACAGACTGAAAAGGACATTCAAACGGGACTCCCGCAAAAGCTCTCTGAAGAGTTGCGAGTCAGAGACAAGGACTCCCACCCCACCAAACTCGGCCTCATCAGAATCCAAAGATGGGAGCAAAACAAGGCGATGGCCGAGTTTCCAGCTCAAGAGGAAGCCGCGGAAGAGTGCGTCGACCCCCACCGACGATAGCCTGGCCGGGGCTACGCCCTCAGACACAACATCCAATGCTGACTGGGCCTCGGTCAGCGACTACGACCACACCCAGAGCCTGACGGAGTTTGACCGGAGGAAGCTCCTAAAGGAGATCCACAATGGCGTCCAGTTGCGCCATGCCCAGCAGGCTACCGGCAGTGATTCTCAGCTCCACGCCCAGAGGGCGGAGAAGTTACCATCTCGGAGAAGCGCCCCAGAGCCAGAGCACTGTGGGTTGGGCTCTACGGGCACCCAGACCCCCTCCTCAGTCCTTTCCAGCTCCCAGGAGTCCGGAATGTCATCTGACTGGTCGTCTGGAGGATCAGGCCAGAGGACACAACGGCCCAGGAGCCTGAACTTGACGAGATCAAGGCGGCACGAACGAGCAAGGCAGGGACTTAATGGCAAGTGAACATTTCAAATAATAGTTAAAAATAGAACAATGCATCCAAATCAACAAGGGACATTCCCCCGCAAAATCTCATCACACGAACATTGCTCATGACATGCTGCAAGAAAAAAATTCCGTAGGGCACAGAATGGGAAACAGTCCCACAGTCATTAAAATTTTGTTATTTCAGTCAATTTTGATTTCTCTAGAAATATTTTTACTCTGTTTTGGAGAGAAATGCCCTTCCCAGTATGTTTAAAGAGACAATCATGAGAATCCTGGGAATTTATGTAAAAGAGAGGATCAGGTTCTGGCATGTGAGAAAAATTTACATACTCGTGCAAGGTAAAGATTCACTTCAGAAAGGGAAGAAAAACCAACACAGTAAAATTACTATTAAAGATGATGGCCCTCAAAAATACCAAACTGATCTCCATATTAACTAAACTTTTACATGTATGTGTTTAGTGTGGGTATTTGAGAGTTTGACTCCTGCAGTGGCATCTTGTTTTTACCGTCCTTGTTTTTGATTCACCCATTGTCGTTTTGCTCAGATGTCTTCAAGTTGGACAGGATTACCCCGGGCCATGTCCGCCGTGACACGGACACGCGACAGCCCGTCATGCCCACTGCCCAGGATGACATTGACCCGGACCTGGAAACGGATGGGATCAATGACACTGAGGATGACATGAGCGGTAGGTCTCAATGGAACATTCTTCTTTGGTAATTTACAAGTGTAATATGATTCGTTGGTGGATAGTCAATACTATTGCCCTAAGGTATTTGACCTTGACAAACTAGTCCCCGGTATAGGCCAAGGAAATAGTTTGTCAACTTACATGTACCAATTGGGGCTAATATCAACTATTTGCCCGAACTATACTTTAGGAGTGCAAAAAAACTGTGATTGAAATATGTGTGCTGCCATCTTTTAATATTCAGCTGGGAGGATGTTTTGACGTGGACAGTAACCCTTTGCGACTCTTCCCCAGTTGCTTTTGAAAGTGCACACCGAGTCTGTGAGGCATACAGTGTACATGTATTCAACATCTGCGTGGATCATGGCCAACGTGCCTGATAAACGGGTCATTCCACAAGGGTAGGGCACAATTTGTGATGGTGTCAGTTGTGACATCGGTTCTGTAAAAATGAACAGCTATTTTCCTGCATGCGGATTCCAAATTGACATTGTTATACATCTTGCAAGGCTGAATACAGAGGTGGGTGTTATTTTTACAGAGTACATGACCCTCTAATGACCCACTCTGCAGGTCATGACAGACGGTAAAAGTTACCCATGCAACAAGGACACCATCACAAATTGTGCCCCAACCTCATGGAATGACCCAAACGGCAATGTACCAGTTGATACATGTGATGGTGAATGGACCCTTTAGGCCCCGAGCGACATCATTGTCAATGAATATGGCGCCCTCTCTTGTTTGTGCATGGAATCTATTGCTTTATATGCAGTGGTATGCATAAGTGGCATACGGTAGCACCACTCACCAATAGAATATTGGAATAAAGAATGTGGGAGTTACTGTGATATCTTTGATTTTGTGGCTCCTGTTGTAAGTTCGAGTTTTTTTCTCTTGACCAAAGAAGAATATCCTCATTTTTAAGTATTTTTGTTGTTCCCCACAGAATAGACAGATTATTGTGTAGGCTTGTGTGTAATTATGATCAGACATTTTGTCTAGCAAAGGTACTAATTTCACTGAACACGTGCCAAGGCTGCTTAGAATCTGCACTCTTTTTTTTGGCATGGAGCTTTTTAATTTAGATGTATTCTAACTGGGGAATGGTATATCTAAAGTCTTTAAACTGAAAAGAAAAAAAGCCTTGATATCTAAATGTACATGTTCATGTATGTCTGTTTGCAGCATAGTGTCCAGATTTTCATAGAGCACTGATGAGTTTTTCAGGAAAAAAAACAAACTACTATCTGTGCTGGTAGACATGACGCACAAGGTGGAAAAATGTGTACAAAATACCTGTGAAATCTGTGTATAAATTTAAACCTGTCAAAGAAGCACAGGATGATGTAATCAAGACGCCATTGATTGTGGAACTTGATGAAGTAGAGGTAGACAAAAAAAAAATCCGGAAAAAAGAAAGGCTTTGCTGTAACCACACGAAGTCAAAACTTCAGCCGCCTTTGTTTCCCCCGGCAGTTGATGGGGGCAACGAAGATGCGACTTTGCAGAGGCCATCCAAGCGGGAGAGGGAGGAATTCTACAAGCGGATCGCCGACCGGCTGGCCCAGATTGGAGACCGGTTTGTGACAGAGTACCAGGAGGGTCTGGTCGGGGAAGATGAACAGGCCAGGCCCGTTTCCAGACAGCGAGCGAAGGAGCTGGGAGCATCAGCTGTTCCTATGGAAACGAGCGCGGCGGCAGCCACCGGAAGTACAGGTGAAGTTTACCGACTGCTCTGAATTTTTTGTTGAAAGAATCCATGCGGTGAAGTTTTCACCTTTTGTTTTGCACCTTCCTACTCTTCTGCAGTGTACCTTACAATAAGGTACACTCAGGAGTTGGCATCCTGTTAAGGTTGACAATAAAGAAAAGTCCAAGCTTCCCTCGACAACTGAGGGCGCTGTTACTGCAGTGTCAATCAGTGAAGATGCTCTTTGTTTTTACAGTTCAAATTATGAACCCAGAATTGCTCGAAAAAAAACGTCCGAGCAAGTGTTGCTTGTTGGCTTATTTTCAAATTACTTACACAACAATAAATCACTAAAGAAAAGGAAATTTAGGATGGCAAAAATGAAACAAAAAGTGAATTCTTGTGTGCCCACATCAATGCAATATTGAGATTTTTCTCCTTGGCCGACATCACAATTGTGCTTATTAATATTTAAATTTGCATTTGCATTGAAAACCCAAAATGAAAATAAGGTTAATTGAAACACAGGAGAAAAAATGCCCAAGTCAGTTTTTAGCTAAATGTTCAAAATGTTAAGCACAATATCACCCCTCATTCGGAATGCACTTCGTGTTATTACTTAGCAACAGAATTGCTAAAATTCTCGTATACTAGTGGCGTGTGGGATTGCAAGGACAGTTTGTGTCTACATGTACCGTACATGTACACTTACTAAGATTACATTGCTGAGAAATGAATTTCAACTTCTAAAGCAAAACTGTGTTTTTCCCCTTTTTTTGGGGGGGAGGCTTTGAAATCTTTTCTGCCTTCCTGGTCAGTGTGAGTCTTTATGATTTGACAATGTTTGTCTTTATTGTGGTTCATCTTGTGGATAATTTTTCAGAATCGGATGATAGACTGTTTGATAGCATCGGTGGAAGGATACGGGACCATGTGGATGGTTACCGAGTGGTAAGTAATATCAGCCAATCACAGTGAGGCCTGGTTACCGAGCAGCCCTGTCAAACCGTTCAAATACATCGCCAGTGATGTTTCTTTGATCGTGTGGAACGTAGGCATCCACAGATTTTCCAGTGGCAAATATGGTCGTCCTGCTTTTAATTCTTGGTCCAGATGTGTACTGTGTACTCTAAGCAGCAACTAGAGCAAGTCACCTTCCCAATGCCCACCTTCCCCAGCTTCTATCAAATTGCACATGAAATGCTAAATCACATGCTTCTGAAGCTGAACATGCAGACTTCAAAACTGTCATTTGATACTAACAAGTTTGGAATACAGGTCTCTTTTTTGTATCAAAGGATATGTTACAAGATTAATCATACATGTACATATATATGTTTGTAAGTTTAATAATAATTGATTGTTAAAAGAACTGACAATTTTTGAGTGTTTGTGCACATTTGCCAAAAATGTACGACACTATTTGCTGGATGCTATATTTTTTATTTCATTTTGGATTTGAGTTTGATTAAATTCATAGACTGATTTTTCTCAACATTTCAGTTGTCTTTTTAAAATCAGAAACCCAATTTATTTGTTAATTGATTATATTACTTTGATTTGATTTGCTTTTTGTGTTGCAATCCCTTCCTTAGATTGATCTGATTGTTTTTGAGCTTCTTAGATTAAGTGGCAATCCAATACAATCGCCTTTGTCACCAGATGTAGATATCACCTCGGTACGTTTCAATAAGGTTTCTCATGCCATAACGTGGTTCTTACGTGCTTCATCAAGTAGTTAGCTCATGCACTTTGGACACCCACTAACATGAGGTACTTACATTGACACGCCATTTCCACAATTCAGCTGCAGTCCATCAATTCCTGGTGGTCAGTGTTACTTTCCTTGAGTCCCATATGAGGCAGCTCAGGTTGGATTCCCACCTTGCACACTACGCAGATGGAATTAGCACAGTGACACTGCCCTTTACATTCAATGTGATCAAGGTTCAAATCCTGTCACCTTGTGAAATTGATTCGTCCGCCAATTAACTCTGCAGGCTGTTTTGCCATCATGCCTCCAAAACGGACATATCCTTCATCATCACCTTCTATCAAAGTTTTTGGCTAAAATCTTAAGGTTAAAATTGGCTTAGATATATGCATCAGTTCATCAGCACTGTAAGAAATGATAAGAAAAGATACTTAGCCAGTAAGAAATCAAATTTCCGCTGATGAAGTTACTCCTTCCTGACAGTGTATAGAGTGTTAGGGCAGTTCTGACATGTTAGTGCTTTGCTCACTTTCCACCTTTGCTAAACCCGAGGTTGAAGTCTTCTCTGAAGCACTGTGAGGATTTAGTCAGTAATTTTGTTAATGTAATCAGCTTTTTCAATTTTCTCTCTAAACAATTGCAGTGAAATCAGTTATATTATCATATTTAGTTTTTCCAAAATAATTGACACTCCTTGTAGTTAGGGAACCAAGTTTCCTGTTGAATTTTTTCAATCCTCAGCTTCAGTTTCAAATGTCATTTTTGAGAAAGCAAAATCAGAAAACATAAAGTTGTCTAATCCAAGACCCAAATTTGTTGTATTTTTATTTGGTTCCAACTGTGAATGTTTGAGAAATGAGTCTGTTTGAAAATGGACATGAAGCAGGATAATGCAAAGCTGAGTTAAGAATATGGCCCGAGACTGTCTTTGCTTGATGCCATGGTCACAGAAGACAGGATTCTATGCAGACATCTTCATTCCTAACACCCCATAACTGATCCTGCGTCATGCGCACACATTCATTCATGCATTTTGCCCTTCCATGAAAACCCGCACAGATGTAGCATATACGTATTTGTGCTGAAGCACAAGAGGCAAGGGGTGACATTGACAAGCAGGAGTTTGGTATAGCTTGAATTTTCTGTTCACAACGAGTAATCACAAACATTGGTGTACGCTGTCAGAATGCACAGTGTACAAGTAACTCTGTGACAAGAATGACTTTGTAACTGAGCAAGTCTTGTTGAGATAGCTAACATGCTGGCTTAACCCATGGAATGTGGGACATCTAAATTTCGTTAACAATTTCCACACTAATTGTTCCTATTTATAATTCTCTCCCTTCCTCTTGGCCTTACCCGCGCCCTGTATACACACTGCAATTGACTCCATTTATGTTGTATCGGTTGGTCTTTGAACCCCCCCTCCCCACACCAAAAACCCCCTCCCAAACATTTCATTTTACCACCGATATCGCTGCCACAAAATGCTTTCTTCATCCTCTTGTCACTTTGTTGACACTCTCCATTCCCCATTCCATCCTTCTCCATCCCTGCTCGCTCTCTTGAAATTCCCTGATTGTTTTGTCGTAATTTTGAAATATTTTGAAAAAAAAATACCCAAACCAACAACCCACTCCCTGATGCTACCCCCCGCGGCCCTCCTCGCCGCTTCACAGCGCTACAACCAACGCCTCCACCCCTTCTCGCCACAGTCAATCCTGTCAGTGGTCCGCGACCACACCTACGCCGTCTTCCGCGACACCATGCAGTCGCTTATTGGCCAGGACACGGGCTTTGAGCAGCTGGCCTTGGTCTTCAAGTTCACCAAGCTGGCCATGAAGATCGCCCAGCACTATGGCTCCCGGGCCAACGAAATCAAGGACAACAGCCTACGGTACATCGGAGATCGCTTTGCTGCCTGGCTGGACAGCCAAGGGGGCTGGGTAAGGACAAAACTGAATGAGACTCTGTCAATGGTAGCCCTCATAGAAAGTGAATGACTCACAATATACTTTATCTGCCAAGTAGCATGATGCCCAGTGCTGCAGTTAACGTTGTAAGGTTACACCATCCTCAATCCCTCAAAATCCTAAAATCCAAGTTGTGGGATTTGAAAGATCTGGGTACTATTATGTCAAGTGAATTTCGCATGAAGACTCACTCGTATACTATGCATAAGTGTGATGTGATTGATTTTGGAACTTTCTGCAGTCTAGCATTTTGTGCACCAGTGATATTGTGTTTTAATCGATCCAGAAAGATTCTCATGTGAAATGTTGTTTCCACTGATATTCAAGTCTTGTTCCCATTTTCTTCCTCTGACATCCTGCAGGGAGCTGTGGTGTATTCCAGTGACTCAGAAGAAGAAGGGGAACAGTCTCATCATGGGGAATCGGAAATTGATTAATGATGTCATTGTGAGATCACTGCTCATTCTTGCAGAAAACTGTCAATTCCTGAAATGAATTTTTGTTACAGGTATCTAAATGTATATATGTATTTCTTTGAATGTGTCCACACTTAAAGAATAGAACCTTTGCTTCTTTCTCTCCTTTTACTCCCACATGGATTAGAGATGATATTTTTCAAGTTTGTTTTGTGCTGTACGACTGTACGTTTGTAATTTTGTAAGAGGTAGGCCCAACTTAGGGCTGCTAAATATGCTAAGCCAATTTGTGCTGTACAGAAATCGGTAAAAAATCCGTTTACAACGAGTGTACTATACAGTGCATGTTTTGGTGGTTGGTAACCAGTTTTTCTCAGCCTATTCTCTCTTTGCAAAAACTTATAGCCGGTTCAGAGAACCAGGAACGACTATAAATGGACCGTGTTTACATGTAATTGTGTGAAGCTAGCAGTTCGATGTTCTTTATATGGTGGCACCTTGCAAAGAGTGAATACTGTCTAAGCTCCACACATCTGTGGTCTTAGTAGGTCTTTGAAATTAGGTCTTGGCACAAGTTGTCAATGTCCACTTGCCCAACTGGTGCAACCTGGATCAGACTCCGTGGTGACATGCTCATGAATTTTTTTGAGAATGGTAAAAACTCAGTGAAAAGCACCTTGTCACTGTCGCGATGCAACCTTGCTGCTAGGCAGCAGCGTTTTTTCCTCCGTGATGTCTCGTAGTGTTTTTCAAATTCTTGAATAAGAATCATGTTTCCACATTTCTTAGGAATCGATTTCCATAGATTTGATTCTAGCAAGTCTGCAGCAAATACGGAAGGGCCTGGACATGTCCACGGGCTAATGTATGTGTGATTTCTTTGAATTGTGTGCTGGAAAATTTTGATTTCAAAGCAGTTTAAGATAAACAGTTCTATCATGATAGAAATCTGTTGTATTTGTTGGGATGGGTTGACCATTGTACAAGTACATGCAACCACCAGATAGATGTCTTCTTCCATGTACCTTTTGCCGATGAAGATTGCAATTAATTTGCAGTGGAATTGCAATTCCTGGGTGGAATAGGAGTAGATTCCAAAACTACTGGAATCGCTGAGCACAAATGTTTCTGCAGTGTGACACCTATCAGCACCAGTCTTCAATGCAGTCTTAAAAGCGAGACTTGATAACCAGTTCCGAGGCATTTGTTTTCCACTGACCTTGCTCAGACATACCTCGCTTGTCATTAGCTCTGAACTTTCCTGGTTGTTCTGTCTCATACCCTGAATCCAAGTACAGGTTTATTTGTTTCATTTCTTTAAGTCACATGTTTCATTTCCACTGTTGGCAGGGCACAGTTTGTAAATAAGGAATGCTTCACCACAATAGATTTTGGAAATGTGATCCTTAATTTTTTTGTTTATGTTTTTGTCAATGTACGGAACATGACTTACCTAAAATCCAGTATTCATATACCAGATCTTTATACACGTGTAATTTGTAACTCAGATGGTTAATAAACTTGTACATATTCTGTAAGATATCTTGAATTTTAAGAGTGATACATATAAAAAAGTATATCAATCTTTATGAAACGTAGAGTGGAAATTGATGTACAAACCAGATCAGCTGCAATTAACAATTATTTGGTTATGTACTTAGACGTATGTTTATTCAGGTGTTATTGACCATGGAATTTATGTCATTACTTTGATTTTAGTATTTGAAACTTTGTTTTAAATTTCTAGTGCTTGTATTGATTTTCGCTCGCGCATTTTAGAAGACAAATTTTGGCAAGTATGATAATATATGTACTGCTCGTGTTAGCCTTGTTTTCCTGGATATTGAAAAAAGAGCCATACTTAATCTGCCCAAAATGTCACAGTGTATTGTAACCAAATGTACAAACTTCTGGTAAATTTCATGTTATCACAGCTATAACAGGAATGAACTGTAAAGTACTGATTCCATCAAATTCATGCTAATTGATTTCTTGGATTTTAGAGTAATTGGGTCTGGGATAATTATTTTCAAAATAATATGAGCCTTTCTGACATCAAAAATAAAATACAGTTCGATGAATTTTGATCCACATTTTGAAATTTAATGACAGTGGTGCATATTTGCATCATTAGTAACATCTGCTTGTTGTCTTGAAACGGTGCCAAGTTTGAGGCAGCATTATAAACACTCGGCTCTGTTACACACAGTACCATTCTTGGCCAATTTTCATTTTAAGTACCTGGGAATCCTATTTAATATTCACAGTACATTGTGACTGTGACATTTGAACTGCCTGTTTTCAACAATGATCTCATTGTTGTTCCTGGCAATGATCCATCATTGCCACTAAATCTGATAGTCGTAGCATGATCCAACAAGGCCTTTTGCTTTGTTGCCATCAAAGTGGTCAAAAGTATCGTGCACTTAACTAAGCCATGTGGTATAATGTGTCATGTGCATGTAGATCCAGTGTTTGCATTCCGTACCAACTGATTTTAGATGACATGTTCATTGAATCGTTCCCATGGATTAAGTCAAGCAAAGAATATTTGGTGTTGAGTATTCTCATTCATTGCTGCTTGGTGACTGCAAGCCTTTTTCAAAACATCTCATGATGCTTTGACGACGGTTTATTCTCGGCATAAAGATTTCTGATCTTTTGGCTAATCTACCAGTCAGATCTATTGAGGGGGGCACTAACTTTTTTGATGTTGTTGGAACTTTGACAAACTTTGAGATCTCTTGCTCCAGGACAGTGAGTAATACTCCAAAGCACCTGTTTCTTCTTGTTGATTGAGTCAAGCAAAGAATATTTGGTGTTGAGTATTCTCATTCATTGCTGCTTGGTGACTGCAAGCCTTTTTCAAAACATCTCATGATGCTTTGACGACGGTTTATTCTCGGCATAAAGATTTCTGATCTTTTGGCTAATCTACCAGTCAGATCTATTGAGGGGGGCACTAACTTTTTTGATGTTGTTGGAACTTTGACAAACTTTGAGATCTCTTGCTCCAGGACAGTGAGTAATACTCCAAAGCACCTGTTTCTTCTTGTTGATTGAGTCAGGTTTGAAATACTGGACACTGGGGGATTCAGCTGGGTAAAGCATGCATCAGGGGCCTAGTCTGTTGACTGCAAACACTTTGATGAAGAAACCTAACTCTACAGGGCCTTAGAATTCATCAACATCTCCAGAATCCCAAAAGCCAAGCTTTCAAGATCCTTAGTAAAGTCTTACTTTGTGTACCTTAAGTTACAGAATTTTTTCCCTAATGCAAATCAGGTTCTGAAATTTGCCAACTGTGCCCGAATTGTCCACCCATCATGCACATATTTACTAGCAATTTCTTTCTTTTTTATAAATTTTTTGACATCGTTTTATGACCAGATTTGTTTTTGTCAGTTCACTTTGTTAAACAAAGTGAGTATTCCCTACACCCTGTGAGATTCAATGTCGTGTCAGTTACGTGCCTTTTGACTAAAAATTTTCATTTAAATTTCTTCCTCTTGATATTTAATCCATTCAGAATTGTAAATACATGGACTGTATCTCAGCCACTCCACTGGTTTTTAGAACCGTTACATTTACATGTACAATTTTATGTACATTATACATGTATCTCCTGCCATGTGCGAAAACTTCCCACTACATTTATATGTGATAAAAATTCCACAAATTTAAAGAAGTACTTTTTTCAGTACCTTCTTTTAACAAAGTGGTGACCTTTTTAACGCATCACTTATTCATGCGGTACATTTTAACAGTCTGTAATTTGTCATGGTTATGTGTAAGATGTATCATTCGGTCAGTTCTTTAAAGAAATTGTGAGTTTCCTCAAGGGTAGTTTGCTGTTTTGTTTGTTTTTTTTCTTTCAGCATTCAAGTTTGCAAATCAAAAATGTGAATAGTGACACACCGTTCCATCATGAGTTCAGATTTGTGGGAATATCCAGCGCCATCAGAAATGTGAATTTTGTAGGTAAAAACTTTAACACTGCGACACTAGTATCTTTAAAATGAGCGTGATATACTGTATTTGTAAAGGTCATGAAGGATTTTTGGTGCTCAAGTATGCCTGGATCTTATATGTTAGAAGGGAAGTTATAAAGAAATGGCTTGTTAGAGACTGTAGAAATTGCGCCCCCATTTTTATAAGAATTGTAATATAATCCCTGTAGAAAATGCCATTTTCATGAGTACATATGATGTAGGGATCGTCTTTAAGAACGTAAACTGTATAAAGATGTCAAGAGTACTTAGTGTACATGTATATTCCATATTGTAGAGTACTACATATTTATTTCTAAGATATGTTTGTCTTCTGTTTTTAAATGCTGCATTTGAGAACTGAAGTGAATTTTTCACAGTTTTGATTTCATGGTAATCGACGGTTATGAGCTTGGACAAAATTTTGTTCGAATCTATCATTTTTCCTGCGTGGTACAAATTACCTATTATGCTGAAAATGTGTCACACAAGATTTGTGCCTATTTTTGGGTGTGGAGAAAGGGTTAGTAAGGGTCAACACAATTGAGTTACTGGCCTGTGTGGAGATTTATTATTTGCTCATAATGTTCTGCTTTGCAAAAATGGGTTACCAGTGTAAATGCCATGCAATGTCTTTTGCAGCTGGTACTCGGTAGATGTTCGTCAAGCATCTGGCGTTTAGCCTGAGGAGAATTTCCCTCTTTGTGAAGTTGCACTTGGGGTCAGGAATGAACAATTTTTGTCCAAGACGAAACTTAAGTAATGTGCAGGTGTGCTTAATCACGATATTAAGGAGAGAACCAATTTGCAAGTTGTTTGGGAATGTTAGGCAGCTGTAAGTGAACCATGGACCAATGATGCATATTTCTGCAATCCTGCTTTTAAAGTAGAGGGCCATTTATGTCCCACTTTAGTGGAAAAAAGAATGGGATTGAGCTTTTGAAGCTACTGCAATATTGTGTTCAAAACATGTTAAGATATAATTTTAGAATGAGCAGATATGTCAGTCCATGCATACATGCATGTGGTATCCAAGCAAGCTTCTTTTGGCATGGCTCACAGCCAGTTGTGCTTGATATTCATGAAACTTGTTTTGCTGTGTAGTTAAAAGTTGCATTAAAGATGGAATTAAAGACGAATTGAAAAGGAACAAAGAGCTTTATTGGCCCTGCATGTTATTTTCTTCCCAGATTAAATATGTTTTTGAAGTATAGAGATTCCTTGTGTAAACATTTTACTGTCATATCCACCGTCCTTCGGAGAAAACCTACGGGGCTCTTTTTGGTGAGCTGCAAAGCAAGTGCGAGCCTTTGTAATACCGATATCCGTCTTCTGTCCGTCCGTCGGGGCTGCCGGCCGGCCGTCTGGCCGTCCTTCCTCAAATGTTAAAGTTTTTCCTTGCAGATGTTAAAATGTGACATTGATTGCTTGTTTGCTTCTTGGAATTCTGTCTGTAATTAAATAGTCTCATATGGCATTAATGCTTAGAAACTTATGAATTTAATGAAAAATTATAAAAGTTGAATGTTAAAGTTTTTAGTTGTATTGTGTACTTAACCTGTAGTACATACAGTACATACATGTATGTACTGAGCATTCCTGTAATGCACATGTATGTATGTACATGTATGTGTAGACAGTGTTCAGACACATACAAATGTACATATGCAGCATGTGGGAAAATGTAAGGGGTGGGGAGGACTCCAAGTGACAGATTAAGATGTTTGTTGGGGGAGGGGTATCTGTAGGAGGAGGATCATGGGGACAAGGTACATGTATGTAGAAAGTGGATGAAATGCTGGATAAGGTTAGTGTAATGGTTGGGCTGGATAAGTGGGATGATGGGACAGCCAGAATAAGAAGTGAAGGGAATGATGGGAAGGGGTTGGATTAGAAGCTGGATGGTATGATGGGAAGGGGTTGGATTAGAAGCTGGATGGTATGATGGGAAGGGGTTGGATTAGAAGCTGGATGGGATGATGGGAAGGGGTTGGATTAGAAGCTGGATGGTATGATGGGNAAGGGGTTGGATTAGAAGCTGGATGGGATGATGGGGTTGCATACAAAGTGCTGAACTGTACATGTACTTTAGAGGAATTTTAATTATGCACCATCCATCAAACTCACAAATGCACTGCTTAGATAATGATCCAGGTCTAGTCTGACTGTACTGGACCCACATTCTTTCGGCATTCCTCTCTCCTGTAAAGAACTGTGAAGCTTTCGTACCTGTATCCCCCTTGGTGGTGGTCTTTGTTGATCTACCTTAAAATTATAGGCACCTTTCAACACACAGTGTGCACACAGCACTGACGAGGTTTTTTTCTCCTAGAGTACAATGAATTTTATTGCTAAGGTTGATAAAATATCTTGTACATGTGTATTGCAGTCGTATGTCGACCACTCTTGTTAACAAATTTTTGATGAAGCTTTGTTAGTATTTTCTTGTTTAATTTAGTTGCCATATTTGTATAACTTAGATGTCTCTTCCCTGTTATTACAAGAAAGAAATTTAAATTCATAACAAGCAGCGGGCCATGGCAGCTTTGCTGTTCTAGTTTCTGACCATGAAATGGACCAAAATTACAAGCTTATTAGATCTGCTTGTGATGCACTTTGAAAAACTATGCTGTGAAGAACCAGGTGCTTCAAAGTATGAGCTAAATGTGAAACTTGTCTGTGGGAGTTACTACAGGGTTATTGAGTGTGCAAAGTTGAAAATCGTTGCACGGAACATTGCAAAAGGAATAATTCTCTTCACTTCACAAATGCGTGAATGTTAAAGACAGGAAAAAAAGGTACTGGCCATTGGAGTAATGGATTAAAAACCATGTTTTTCAAAGTGACTTCAATGTATTGCAGTGCGTAGCACGATGGCAGTGTGTTACACAGTGGTGTAGTGAAGGCATTTTCATTTAGGGAGGGTGCCACAGTCAATTTGCCAACATTGTAACTTATTCGCCAACCTCGTGTCGTGTAAAATTCTCGAAGTGATCCGTGGTACGCACCCTCCCCCAAATCTCCCCGGTCACTACGCCCCTGGTGTTACATGTGACTTCTGTTTACTGATTTTTCAGCTGTATTATGTGTGACATTGGAAAACTGTTCACATTAATCAAACTGCAACCTAAATGAGAACGAAATTAGATGAACCATTCCATTGTTTGAAGTTCTCTCTGAGCATTGAATGGGTTTGTGTGTCCATGATTGTCAGTTTCAGAAGCAAGTGTTTGACACAGTGTTAATTGGTACCAAACTTGAATCTTTTGGGCTGTGTGTGTGAGGTGTTGTAATCACTTGAATTATTTAGAAGTTCCGTGGATTGCATCTTATTACAAGACAAATATACTTGAAACTGTGGATGCAGCAAATACGTTGATATTTACACATATATGTGTTGTATTCGAGTCCAAGTCCCTGTAGGTCCATCACAAGTCCATCACAAGTCAATCAGTCTTAGTTCACAAGGTTTTCAAATGAGCTATGACAAAAAGATTCTTTTGTCATTGTTCACAATGTTACTTTTGACTGGCCTTGTGGAAGGGACTTGTGACTGGCCTTGTGAAGGGTCTTGTGACCGGACTTGTGATGGACTCAGATACATGCAACTTTGAGAAATGTTTACCAAGTCCGTAAGTATAGTGCATGTTTTCTGCCCTTTATCATGGTTACTTTGAAGACTGATACCATCATTTTTTCCTGTCAAACTTTTGTAAACACAGACAAGCCCTGTGTCCTGTCTTCAGACAGATATGGACCGCTGGTTTTCCTTCATTTTGGTTGTCTCTGTTAAACATGATAGGGGCAGTGCACCCTTATCTTGTAGCACTTGTTGGCATGTTTCCAATTTTGCATGCATTTGCAAAATGTAGTTGGTATATCAACATTTCAACCGACACAAATAACAGATTACCTCAGCCAGTAAAGTTGAGAACATTATTTAGTTTCAGTGACTTATTGAAGGCCCCTACATCAGTCATCCCAATCTTTAGGTGGGGTACAGTAATTGTGTGTACAAAACAAGTGCCTGCCATATATGGCTGTTATCGCCAACAAAGTAACAAACACTAGCTCCTTCAAACAAATGCATAAACTGTCATGCCAACTTGGCCATGAATGTAAATGTGCAATTCAGGCTGGTAACACTATTAATTTTTATATTTTACTTCCTGAATAGAGGAAACTTGGGGGGGGAAATAACAAAATGACCCCTGGACTAGTGCATTAGTTGCCATGGCAACACAACACAGTCCTCATTGTACCTAATTTTGCCTCATCCCGCCCACCAGCAACTCCCCAAATTTTGGATGGTACCCTGTTCCTGTGCTCTGAGAGTTGGCAGTATCCAAACCTTGGTTGGAGGCCAGTTGGCTTTTGTTGGAAGAAGCAAATCAGGATGTTGACTGTTCTGTTGTCATGGTTTCATCTACCGGTACCTGGGAGAAATCTGAAATGGCTGTGCAATTGGCTGTTGCTATTCAACTTGCAGTCACATGCTAGTAACAGGTGTTTTGTTGATAGTAACCTGTTAGGCTTTATAAGCGGTCTGTATCTTTGAAATTTGAGTAGTTGGTGAAAACTGCTTGTGAAGAGACCTTTGCTCAATTTGACTTTGCAGGTTTGGAGTGATTTTGTAGCAGTGGCAAAATAAGAACCTTGAATACAATCCCTTCACCTATATAGAATTGAACCAGTCTCTTCCCATTTGGCTTGAATATAAATTTATTTCCACAAAAGAGGTAAGTAAGTAATACATGTTTCTTGGCATTTTCAATAGCATTTTAATTTGACCTGCTGGTAGAAATGGAAATACAGAAGAGCACAAGCTCTTTTTGACCTTCACTGATGTACATAATTATAAACATACAGAAAGTTGTCTGGAGGCTTGTGAAAAAAAATCCAAGTTTAGTTGGGTGGGACTCGAACACATTACCTCCTGTTTGCTAGTGCAGGGGTCTCACCACTCAACTACTAAGCTTGCTGGGTCTGACAGTTCGATTCCAATGAGCAGTTGGTATTGTTCTCAACCTTACCACATTAAAGATGTAGTTTTTTGGCATAGAGTAGATGTGAATTTTTATATTGAAGACTTGTGAAATTGAATTTGGATATCAGTCTCGAAGATTTCTTGATCAATATAAGTTATTGCAGAGGAGAACTACATGTTCCTAAAGAAACTGTCTTTAGATTTGATAGGAACTGTAGCATGTTCCTATTAAATTGTTTCATATTTCAGTTAGAGATGGGGACTCGCAGCAACACCCAGCTGAAAATCCAGAAATTAGACACAAAACTGAAGAGCAACCTGCACAGGCACAAGACTGACGAGCTGGACGAAGTGGATTGGTTGGTTGTCAGGCGAGGACAACCATTCCAGCTTGACCTGACCCTGAACCGCCCATACAACAACAGCACTGATGTCCTTGAATTTGACTTTCAAACAGGTATGCAAAGACCGAGCAATATTTTTAAAGTTCACAAACCTCTTTGCAGGCATAAAATTAATAGACTTAGTAGTGTCTGCTGTGTTACCACACTTTGGGGAACAAAAATGTGATATTTTGTGTAGAAATCTTCCAGATAATGACATCTGAATGTATGGTATCTCCTTTTCAATCTCAAATAAAATGTATTTATTCAGGTTTTAGAAGCACAAATATATTTTCTCTTTCAACTTGAGTTTAAAGTCGGATTCATGCATAATAATCAACTGAATTTTATTTGTCCAATTGATTTTCTTCAGGTAAAATGGCACTGAATTCCTTTGCCCCTGCATATTTTGCACCTTTTTTCAGAAAACATTTCAATGCTTTGTAAGTTTTTCACAAAATGTGTCTCTTTTGTGATTTCTCAGGAAAAACCAAGAATTTCCGGAGGGGGACGCACGTCGTTGTGTCAATCGGTGAGCAAGACCTGCCTCTAGCCAGAGGATGGAAGGTGCAAGTTGATGAAGAGAAGAACAACACACTCACTGTGTCCATCGCTGCCTCTCCTGATGCACCGGTGGGAAAGTATTCCCTTGCTGTGCGAACTGTAGTGAAGTCAAGTGAGCCAGTTTTTGTTCCTTGAAAAGAAATTAGAGCAATCTGTTAATGCCAAAGAATGATTTGGAAAGTGCACCATGCCAAATTTTTTTTGTTGCCATGCAAAATACAGAGAAAATGTTACAATTTTTCTGGGGGGGGCATGCCCAAGTAGAAGTCCGCCTCTCCCCCCATGTCTTATATGTACATGTACACAATCAGTGTACAAGCCACAATTCACTTGCTTTCAGTGCCCCTCTTGAAAGAAAAAAAGGGTGAACCCCGGATGGCCCTGCAGAACTTTTTTCACCCCAGTTTCACCCCTCGGTGACTCAAACCTGAGATGTTTCATTCTCTTCTCTTAATTGTCAGTCAAAGCAGAGGACTCATTCAAGGAGCCTCGCCCAATTTATGTCCTCTTTAATGCCTGGTGTGAGGAGGATCAAGTCTACCTGGTACGGGAAGAAGAACGAAGGGAGTACGTGCTAAATGAGAAGGGTTACATCTGGTACGGCAACTCAAATCAAATTGGCAGGATGGCCTGGGGTTTCAACCAGTTTGAAAAGGGTGTCTTTGAGGCAGTTATGTACCTACTAGAAACTCATGTAAGTGTCAGAGATAGACCCAGGTTGTATTTGAAAATTATGTGCTGATGCACTTAGGGCTGCGAAAGGTGCACCCTTAACCAAATATCTGGTGATACATAATCGATATGGGATCCATAGTATTTTTATTTCCTGAAGCCTTTGCAAGTACCTACACAACCCTTCTTAAGGGAGAAACAATTTTATTTGATCTTATTTTATTGTTAACATGCATATTTAAATAATACAGTGGACTCTGCTTTGTTCATAATACAGTAGAAATGAATACACTATAATAAATAACGTGGGGTCCACACAAAATTCATTCATTCTGGGAGTCATTCGGTAGCCGGTGTCGTTCCCAGTTCCATCCTGTTAAATGTGCAGCAGCCTGCTTGCCTCTTTTTTTTGGCCCATCTCATGGTTGGGGGAAGAGTAGGGAGAATTCCGCCCCCAAGAAAAAAACTTTGTCGTCCCCCTCCCCGAACACTCATCAAATTTGAACTCAATCTGACTTACTGTTTTGTTGTTACGGTCATTTGAAGTTGAAGGCCTCGTGCTTGTTCACTCATGTGCATCAAGCATGTCAATGGAAAATGTGTACATTTTTGGCTGACCTGCCTCAGCAAAATGGCAATTTTCACTAAATCAAGTTTAATAAAGTAACAAGATATTACTTTAAGAAATGAAGATTCAACGTGTAGAAATGCACTGTGGCGATATCAGGTACCGTTTTCTGGCTCTTCTAGGATTTAGTAGTGTAATGTGACCTGTTGCAATTGTTAGTCAATAACAAATGGAATGTTTGACCTTGTCAATTGTTTTGCGTAGAAACAAATTCCAAATCACTCTGCCTTGTTGCTGACTTTTGTCACATATCATCAACATTCATCAACAATCGCAGATGAATTTTGATCATTATTTGCAATGAAGTATAGTGCTAATAGAATTTGTGTTAATTCTGGCAACTTTTTTGAATGTAGTTATGTGAATTCAAGTCGCAATCAATTACAGTAGGATTGTTTGACTTTATAAAAGGTGGGTGAATATGAACGTGGAAGCTCTGTCCTGGTCTCTCGTTCCATGTCAGCTGCTGTGAATTCCCAGGATGATAATGGAGTCTTGACTGGACGTTGGGGAGGCAACTACAAGCCTCATGTGAATCCATCCTTCTGGACTGGCAGCCAGCGCATTTTGGAGGTAGATGAAAAATAATCATTACAATGAAACTGTTGATTCTGATGCAGTCATCGCTGTACATGTGGATTGCAATGTGACTGTTAGTAGTGAAAGCCTGTGTATGACCAGCAAAAAAAATTGCGGAGTACTTCTGATGTCATTTAAGGGCATTGCTCAGGGCTTTCTCAGAAGTCTTGAAAAACAAAGACAAGTTGCTCAATGGATCACCATGATCATGCAAAATACTAGTGCAGATGTGTCATTGGCCCCTGTGTAGTCTTGATTCAAGACGTTCTTTTGCGATACAGACTTAAAATACCTGCTGCCAGCTCCCTCTGCAAGCACAAATCATACACATAGCTCTCTGCACATGCAGTCCACAAACCCGACTGACTTACGTAAAGAGGTGCCAGTTGCCCAGTGCAGTAATGGAGCACATGTGGCGGGCACTAACTAGTTGACCGCATACATTGGTGACAGATCTGACTTACCACACAAACCTGACTTACCCACAAACCGCTCCCCGTCATGATTGAATGCACTGCCGGTGAAAGCCCTCTATTGGTGGTTTGTATGCCGTGCACCAAGACTACGATCCTGAACAAACTAGTTGGAACACCATGTGGGAAGCGCGGTGAAAAGATCCCCCTCGCTACCATTCAATGTTGCAGTCATTTACTGGACCAAGATTAAGCCGAGCTTACCCAATGAGAAACAACATTGACAGGGGAGAGGGGGAGGCATGTTCCAATGAGATTTGTCCAGGATTGTAGCCCTTGTGGTATTATTGTAAGAGAGGTCTTGAGGGTAGGCCAGCTTGGATATTAATGGAACAAAGTCATTTTCTTTTTCAATAAACATCAGTATCAAGGCAGCTAGGTGGTCTTTTTAAAGTTACCTCTGGCAAAAGAGTGTAACATACATGTACATCTAGGTATATATACAAAAGCATTTGTTGCAAAAAGTTGACAAGAAGCCTTCAACTTTCTCACCTCTCCAACAGAAAACTATTTACTGGCCTGTTGCTTTGACACTGTTTTGATTTAATTAATTAAAAAAAGAGCTGTTTTTCAGCTGTGTCCTGATGGATCTTTGTGAAGTAGCATGGCATATTTGTGAAGACATCTGTTTGAGTCTGTCTGTGAAGTTTCAATTCAATCCGACAGAGTTTTGATTTCAAGGTCAGTTATAGTTTACACTCTAACATTTGTCAGCATGTGAACTGGGCGCATGCTCATGGCATAGGAAAATGTCACAATCTGTAGGCAGCCTTTCTTGAATAAATGGGCAGTATTTAAGAACAGCGCATACGTGTATGATTTACACAAAATTGCTGTCAAATCACTGTAAGACATCGTTATGACCCCCCTCCCAAGCTTTTTCATGTTGCAAAGTCCAGCTGGGAGGATTCATAAAAAAAGCCATGCCTTCTTGTTTGCTGTTGTTTCCCGAGTTCACTTGGTCAGTTTTTATCTCTTTCAAACTATACAGGAGCATTTCAAGACCAAAAATCCTGTCCGTTATGGCCAGTGCTGGGTGTTCTCTGGAGTCCTCACCACTGTGCTTCGATGTCTTGGCATTCCTACCAGGAGCGTCACCAACTTTGATTCAGCCCATGACACCAATGACAGCCTGACCATTGTAAGTTTAACACTGGGCTACTTTAATTTAGCCACTATTTAAGGCCCCACACAAGAAATCAAATCCAAGTATATACACCTTTGTGTGTCATTTAACCCCATTTTCAATTCAAATGGTGTATGAGAGCTTTTTGTTTTATATGCTAATAAAACTTTACATATTCCCGACCACAATTATACCATGCCCAAAATTAGATATATGGACACCATTACTTTCTGGATCTTTTGTTATTTTGCACTCCCAAATTTTGTTTTTTATATGCCAGTTTTTTGTTTCAGTTCCTGAGAATAGGTCAGTTAAAGATTTGTCAAAAATACTTTCAGTGAGCAAATTTTGGATGGATAGTTTGAGTAGAAAACTGATTTTTTATAAACAGTGTCTCCCCGGAATGAAATCACAGTTCACTCATTTTTTTGGAAAAACATGGAAAGTTTTAAGTGTTTCAAAATAACCAGTGAAGATTTGGTGTGGTAATGCAGCCAACATTTTATCTTATTTCACCATCTCATTTCCCCAATGTCCGCTACAGGATGTGTATTTTTGATGAGAACAATGAAATAGTAAATTCCATGGAACACGAAATCTGGAATTTCCATGTCTGGAATGAAGCCTGGATGAGCCGGCCAGACCTCCCACCAGGCTACGGTGGATGGCAAGCCGTTGATGCTACACCCCAAGAAACCAGTGGCCGTATGTATACTATGTGATCCTTTAGTCCAACTCTGTAAAGGACTGCCGTCTACTAGTTGTGGTATATCTTAAACAGTCAGTAGTTTTGGCCAACGTGAAATATTACACCTCACCCGGGTCGTGTTTGTTGTTGAGTAATACAGCCTGTAAAGTGGTTGAAAGTGGTGTTCTTCTTTTTTCATGTTGTGAAGCAGTTGCAATTATTTGTAAATGTAGAAAAGTTTGTCCCCTTTTCAGAAGCAGGATTTAAAAGTTATTTTTTTTCTGTCTAATTTTAAATGCGAGTTTAAAGTTTAGGGAAATATTTTACAGCCCCTTATATCCTGTATCAGTCTTTTGACTGATTACTCTGTGCCTACTGGCATCCAATTTCTGTAGTTTTCATTTCCAACTGAACATATTTTATATGTTGACCTGAGGAAAAGAAATCCTTTTCCGGATTGTCATTCACCCTAAAAACAAATGATTTTCAGGCTGCAGGGAAAAAGGAAATGTTAAAGTTGTTACTGTCAGTGATCAAATGCAGAAATTTTGCTGACTAAAATCTCTAATTTTCTTTGAAATCAATTGTTTTGTGATGTTGTGGTGTTTTACTAGGTATCTTCCGCTGTGGTCCGTGCCCTGTTAGTGCCATCAAACAGGGCCAAGTCTACTATCCCTATGACACAAAATTTGTCTTTGCAGAAGTCAATGCAGACATCGTTCACCTGCGGGTGAGTGAAAGTCTGTGTACTGTACCAGATAAGTTTGGTAGTCATAAGTTTCAGTCTTTGTCTCTCGGGGGCAAATCTGTGTACATTTTTCAGATTTTGTTGTAGTTGAGAAATATTCTTTGATCAAGTGTTCCTTTTTATAAATGCAAATTTTGTAACCATTGGTGGTTGTGGAATGCGTGTGACCCTGGTGATGATGATGTTGAAATGCACAAATCTCTTGAGTAATGAGTCACTAATTTTTGTGACTCAAGTTGAGTCATTGTAATGCAATAACTCGAGTTGAGCCATAAGGCAAAAATCTTGAGTCGAGTCGAGTGTTTAGCTTGAGTCAATTTGAGTCACCAGTATTTGAATGCAAAACAAAATTTGTAAAAGGGGAGAAAATCATTTAAAAAATTTACCTGTGGGTTTCTACATATACATGTGGTCACATCACATCGAACTCTTACTAATCGTTGCACATAACAGGAACATAAAGTGGCGCTATAACCCGCTGCAAATATTTTTTTGCGAGGAAGTTTGCTTTCACGTTTCAGACTCGAGTCATTTAACTTTCACCTGAGAGTTGAGACAGGTGTTGTGATAAGGGACTGGAATCAAGTCAAGTCATTTGCTTGCAGTGACTGTAGTGGAGTTGAGTCATTTACCCTGTTGGGACTCAAGTCGAGTCCTCAAAAATTATGACATGAGTCGTTATAACTCTGCATCTGCACGACAATGTTAAACTTAAATTTTTCTGCATATATATATACATGTATATATACTGCAGTTTCCATGTGAAACAAATGAAAGTATTATGTGAATCCTTTTCTGAGCACACTTATTAATAAGTAATTTCTTCTTATGTTGACAAGTCTTTTGAGGGATCATGTTCTGTCATTCCAGGTCAAAAGAGACGGTAAACTTCAAGTGATAAAATTGAATAAAACGCATGTGGGGAAGAAGATAAGCACAAAAGCATTGGGCTCAAAAGACAGGCAGGATTTAACATCAGAGTACAAGTACTCTGAAGGTAAGCATGGTTTCAAAAGCCATGAACAAATTACCATTTATCTTTAAACACTTGTACCAATACCTTCTAAACCTGTGAATATTTATTTACTGATCTGAGAAATCAAAAGTGCCATTTGTCCACCTGCTCTTCAGGCTCCCAGGCCGAAAGAGCTGCTGTCAAAATTGCAGCGTCGTATGGAGCCACACCCTGGATTTATGACTCTCCCAAGTATGCAGAGGATGTACATGTTAAGCTTGGAGTCTCAGACTTGAACAAATACGTCGGAGAGGATTTCAGCCTCAAAGTTCCTCTGGCCAACAAAAGCCAAGAAAAGAGATCGGTTTCAATCACGCTCATCTTGCAAGTGGTGCATTACTACGGTATGGCCAAAGTTCTGCTGAACTTACTTTTGTTAAGTTGCATCCAATAACACTGCATTCCATTTTATGGGCACAGCTTAATTTTGTTTAATCCCTTCTTCGTGTGATGTCAATCAATAACCATGATCTGGCAAACATTTCTACTCTGCTAATGTGATGAAGTCAGCTTAGGTTAGTTAACAAAGAAATATTGGTGCTTTTAGCTTTTCACAGGAAAACCCCAAATGTGTGAAGTGACAAATCTGACTCTTTAGTTGGTAAAATGAAACCTTAGTAAAATTATGGTAAAGCACTCCTGTACTTGTTTTTTTTTGTTCAGGTGTGTTGGCTGCCAAAATCAAGAAGATGGATAAGAAGTTCCAACTTGGACCTGGTCAAAGTGATCAGATCACTATGAGTGTTAATGCTGATGAGTATCTGGACAAGATGGTGGACCAGTCTGCATTCAAAGTCTTCCTCCTCGGCCATGTTGATGTAATTTATCATATTGATTACGTTTACCCACAGGTGTACCTTTAGTAGCATTAATACATTCACCCAAGTCTCTGTTCACTCCCCCAATCATTTAGACCAGGTCACCCCCCATCATTGCTATAATTAACTCAAGGCAAAAGTTAGTTATTCCAAGTTTATCTGAATCAATAGTAGGAGGGCCTGACGTTTTGATCCTACAAGAATCTTTTTCAGTTTTTATGTTATGGCACTTTTTTCTGACATTTTGTTTTCGAGATTTGATCTATGCCATTGTTGCAACACATATTTCACTTGCTTTCCTCCTGTTGTCCCCATTACAATGTGCTGATACTCCAATTTTAAAAAGTACCATGTAATTTAAACAGACAAGTTTACTTTTTCCATTCCGATAGAGTAATAATTGTATTTTACCATAAATAAACAGCTTGAGCTGCACTTAAGCCCGAGTACTAAGAACCAGCAGTATAAACAGGTCCTTGCACACTCACAGATTCACAACCCTGAGTACGCTTTACAAGATGAGTAACAAACACAGAAAGGAAAATGAAGCGGAAACAAAAATCAGAGAAGACTCATGGTCGTTTAAATTTGCTCCCCATCAGGAGACTGGCCAGGCCTTTGTAGAGGAGGAAAACTTCCGTCTGCGCACCCCTGACCTTGACGTCAAGCTGTTGCGTCCAGCAGCCAAAGACGTGCGTGTCGGCATGCCTGTTGAAGTGGAGCTGAGTCTGCGAAATCCCCTGAAGAAGAAGAAGCTGACAGCCTGTGAGGTCACCGTGGAAGGGGCAGGGCTCTTGCCTCCCCGTGTCATGAAGCAGAAGTTAGTTTAGCCTGGCAGTTGGGATTTGTACATGTATCTCAAAAACATAGGGTTGGGGGTTTGAATCCAGCAGCCTGCTACATGTTGTGACCTTGGGCAAGTCACTTTACTCCCATTTTGCCTCTTTCTGTCTTGAAGTATATAAATGGGTCGCTGTGAGGGCTGGTATGGTTGTTATGTTTGATTAGCTTTCTGCACCTGAAATGGCAGCCTTGATCTGTAAACTTCCCCGGGAGCTGAGATGGTTTAGGAATGTTTCTTCTGGGTTCAGTTTGGAGGGATAATGATGGATACATCCGCTTTGTAAGTGTCCATTATTATCACTATTGTTGTTACTCTTCGTGGCTAGCATCGGAGGTTTTCCCTAGCTTGCTCAAATGTTCATCTTAAGGACAGTTGTCATCCATTGTGCTGTCCACCAAGATTTATAGGCACCTTGTTTCTGCTCACTTTTACAGGATTTCAGCTGGCAAAATTTTGAATAATGGCCAAAGTTTATTTGCTCATTTTGCATATGCTTTAACATTCAGTACTGGTTAAGAATTTTTTTCTCACCATTGCTCATATTTCTGTGTAGAAGTATTTTCGCGAATGCATTTGCCATCTTACTTCTGGAACTGTGCCTGGGGAAACTTGTCAACCCCTCCTCCCAAAACATTCAATTATTAAAAGGTGCAAAAAAAGAAAAGCAAAGCAAAAGGAATGAAGAAAGGGAAAATGTAATCATGAAAATGAAAATCACCAATTAGCTTGAAAATACCTTGGAATTGGCCCACCTCCAATGCAAACATTTTGCCAGTTTGCTGCTGATGAGTTCTTTGCTTCCTGTGTAAAAATTCCTTGCGATTTGATGATGTGCAGTATGAATAAAACCTGAGCACTCAATTTGTGTATTCGGTCAGAGTCACTGTACCTGCTATCGTATTAAATATTCTGCTCCTTTGATGGTTTTAGTAACTACAAAACCCGCCATAATGTGATCACATTAATCATCTCACTGCTTCTCATATGTGGTGTCTGTTTGTGTAGTTCTCAGTTTTCTGTGAAATGTCATTACAGGGATGTTGCGGTGGGCCAGACGCTCACTCTGAAGGTTGACTTCAAACCAAGGAAAGCTGGTGAACGCACTCTCATTGCCACATTTGAATCGGATCAACTCGCCCAGGTGACCGGGGAGCTGGATTTGAAAGTCCTGAAAGCCAAGTAATTCAGCTAGTGCCAAGACAACAGAGGGCGCTGTATCAGACACGTTCAGAAGTGATGAGATTTGATCAAACTAGTAGTTAACTCATAGTTAATGTGTTACAGATGGTGGTTGATTTTATAAGATTTAGTTTGATTTGAAGATGTAAAATGAAGTTATTTTTTGTTGAAGTAGGGTTTTCAAATCTTTGTTGCATCGCCATGTCCTGCCTTTGCCAGTTTAGTACCCCATTTTACTCTGGAGTTTTTACTTGAAAAACCCCAAATTTTCCATAAAATGCCAACCGACATACAGTTGACCCAAAGATTGAAAAATCTTCATTTAATTTGAACACTGTAGACCAGCAAGTGGTTTCAGGGTCAGAGATGAAGTTGAGATAACTAAAGTTGATTATGTCAGTCCTTTTCATGAAATCTGGGGGACAGGCTGTCTGCTCAATGTGGTTGAAGCAACCGTTGGTAACCAGGGATCCCACCAGCTGTCATAAGCTGGTCTCCACTTTCCAATTAGTTCTAACTTTGTTGACTAATACATGTTCAAAAAACTTAAAGCAGTTAGATGGGAAACTGTAGATCTCCATGGACGATGATCGAGCCAAATAAAAGTACGAGGGGGGATCTAAAGACACAAGTTCAGTTTGGTTTTGCTAAGCCTCTGCTAATAGGCACTTCCAGGTCATTCTATATGTACCTTGAATGGCCATCATAAAATTAGTACTGAGGCATAAGACAATCGGGCTTAATTTCAGAGTGCTGCTTAACAGCAAGAGGGTGTTTAAGCCTAAAGGGACTAGTTGCTGAAGTCACTAGCATAATCAAAGAAGTTCGGTGTAGTGTGTAGTCATATCCACATCATAAAATATCGCTTAGCAGCAATATGAGTTGATGTTGCAGTAAGCCCAAGTTTGGTTGTTTCATGAAAACTACTGTAGGCTGGTAGGTGGTTACATCACACGAATACAAACATGTAAATGAAAAGATGGAGGACACATGCATCAATGCACACCGCATCCATATTTATGAACATAAATGGTAACACTTTCGACGTCTCTCTCCCCATCAACAACGCTGGCATTGAAAACAAGAATACAATTAAACCTTGTTCTCCTCTTGACGGCTTGACAGTTAAACCTCGTTCTCCTCTTGACAGCTTGACAGTTAAACCTCGTTCTTCTCTTGACGGCTTGAATTGAAGTAAAAAAAGGTCCTTTCAGATCCTTTGGGGCAGATAACATTGTTCAAGTCTAAGTAGTGATAATCGTTGTTATGCCTATCTATGTCTAAAATTTACCCAGGAGTATGTGGATTGAAATAATTTTGTACACAGATGTATTTGCTTTACAAAAATTCTGGATCTGTCTCTAGATACATTTGTTGTTTTTATGACTGAGTATTAAGCCAAGATGTTTTGCTATAAACATTACCAAATGAAGTTAAATGTCCAGTTTTTAGGAATCGGTGTCATAATAATTGCAAGATATTACTGAGAAGCTTTGTAAAGGCTTGGTGTTCAAAAAGCACACCGCAACATTATTGAAAAAGAATTTGAGCTTGTTCAAGTCTGAGTAATGAATGCAGGTTCAGTTTCCACATTATGAGTCGTCATCCACTTTTGTGTCCACACGGAATATTTCCTAAAAGTAACTAGCAGGATATATGCATGTATTAGTGGAATCAGCTGTGTAGATCACTCGTAGAGTGGACAGTTTTGTCTGGAGCAAGACTAATTAAGCTGAGCTTTTGTACTCAAAAGGGGAGGAAGTTTGTCCTTCAAGTCATGTGAACTCATTACAAGATGTTGTCATACTCAGTTAAAAGCATAAAAAATTATGTAGGAGTTTGAAAATCTGCATAATGCTGGAATTGTTGTTATGGTTATTGATTGCTAGAATGTACTTTCAAGTGTGTGGATTGAAAAAATTTGTACACATACATAATTGTTTTATTGTAGCAAAAAAATATGCATCCACCTCTGGATACAGTTGTTTTATAACTGAAATTGAGCCAAGATGTTCTGCTCTGAATATTACCAAATGTTAAGGTGTCTAATTTCAAAACTTAGTGTCATGTTGATTGAAGGTATTATTAAAAAACTTTTGAAAGTTTTGGTGTGTAAAAACTACACTGCAGTGATATTGAGAAAAATAGCTTGTCAAAAACAGAAGAATCAGTGAAGGTTCAGTCTGAAAATTACTGGTTATCATCCACTTTTCATCCTCGAGTACTATTGCTTTAAAGCAACCAACAGGTTATATGAAAAATATCTGAAACTATTTGTGTAGATCACCCATTAGGTGGACAACTTTGTCAGGAGCAACACAAGGCTCAGCTTTTTTTCTCAAAAGGGAGGAACTGTTTTTGTTTGTGTGTGAACTTGTTACAAGATGTTGTCATACTCAGTCAAAATATAAAAAATAAACTTGAAGTGTGAAAATCTGCAAAATGCTGGAATTGTTATGGCTGTCGATTGCTTAAATGTACCTTCTCATGGGTGGATTGAAATAAGTTTTACAGAGCTATAATTATATAATTCTAGCAAAAAAATTTCGATCTGCCCATAGATACTGTTTTATAAGTGAAATGAGCTAAGATGTTCGTTTATAAATATTATCGCACAATATCCTTTATGTTTTGTGTTGGTTAAATTCAATTTTTGTTTGTTGCTATTTTTTAGCCTTTTTAAAGATTGTTTTACCAAGAATTGTTAACTTGATTTTTTTTTATTTTCTAGTGAAAATTTCTTTGTCGATGAAAATATTCCCAAATGTTTGACAGTATTACTATTTTGCAGTGTTAACCTCAAAACAGCAGGTTTTTCAACCATCTTACAGCTGGGGAGGGATAGATTCCACCCCAAGAACTCAGCTGTCCCACGGTCATTCCCATCTTTTTCAAAGCTGGCTTGCACATTAAGACACTCATTCTCAGTATGAATGTGAAGCTTTCAAGTCAGTCCAAGTTGTGGTCTTGTAAGACAGTCCACAAAAATTGACATCATGTGATGCTATCCTGTGATGTTTTTTCTTGATCCTTAAATTTTTGTAGAAATTCCTCAGACTTTGTAGGCTGTGAGTTGACATGTTTGGAACACATATCGGAAGTGTACTTTTTTTCTTTCTTTGTAAATGTTAGAAAGCCCTGTGTCCTGTTTTGGGTTAAACATGGACCTTTATTCTGTGTCAATTTTTTGGTTGTCTCTGCTGAAACTGATACGGCAATGCACCCTTTCCTTTAGCACCAAACAATTTTACTTGGTATGTTTCCGAACTTGCATGCATTGGAAAACTGCAGTCGGCATACCAACTTATCAACAGGCATAAACAGCAGATTACTTCAGCCTCAGTGTAAAGTTGAGACATGATCTAATTTTAGTGAATTATTAGAGGCCACAGCATCTGTCCTCCCAAATCCTTTGATGGGGTAAAGTGATAGTGTGTACCAAATATTCACATACCTTAATTGGCTGTTATCGCTGACTCAAGTAACGAATACAAGCTCATTGAAATGAGTGCACAAACTGTTATGCCAACTCGGTCATACATGTACGTAGGTGTGCAACTTGGGCTGATTATACCCTATTGATAATCAAGTCAGGGTTCCTGAATAGAGATTTCAAGGACAACAGCTTAGCCACTGGCCTAGTGGATCAGTCGTCTTGACAACTCCAAACAGTTCTCTTTGTACCTGATTTTGCCCCATCCCACGCACAATCAATTCCCAAAACAAGCACTGACGGCTGTGCTGTCCTTGTTCACTAAGGGCTGACAGTAATCTCGCAAAGTAAACCTTGAATCGAGGCCAGCCAGCTTTTGTTGGGGACAAGTACATGTAAATCGTGTTGGTGACTATGCTGTTAATTGACTATACTGTTGTCAAGGTTAACATCTGTCCATTTAGAGAAATCGGTAATGGCAATGCATCATGGCTTTGATCGCTATTCAACTTGTAGTCACTTGTGCTAGTAACGAAGGTGGTTTGTTGATAGTAACGAGTTAGGCTTCATAAGCAGTATGCACCTGTGATTTTGCAGCTCTGGCAAGTGAGGTTACATGTATTTGATAGAACCATCCCTTCACCATTTTGGCCTGGCAGAATCTGATCCTGTTTTGCTCTGAATATCAACTTATATCTACAAAAGAGGTAAGTTGTTCATGTGTTGTGACATTGCTACATGTAAAAGTATTTTTAATTTTAACTTGTAGCACTTGGAATTTCTTTATTAGCACTTGCTAAAAACTGTTGCTAGACAACGAAGCCTTTACAGAAGATAAGCTGGTTTTTACCCTCCGTGTACATATATTTATGAGCACTGTATACTCAGTTTTGTCTGAGGGATTATGAAAAATTTCCACATGTACCGGGGATGGGACTTGAACTCAACCTCCTACTTGCAAGTACAGAGGTCTTACCACTTGTCCACTGAGGTCACCAAGGTCAGCTGGCTGGTTTGAGGCAGATGAGCAGTGAGTGGGTATTTCACCAAACTTTAAGAGGCAATATTTGAAGACTTCTTGCGAATTTGAATGTGAATTTGTATTGTTCATTGAAGCTTCAGCTTGAGAGGGAAACTACATGATCTAAATTCTTTTCAGAACTCACTCAAAAAAAAGAGATATATCCATATGGTGCTACCACAAACCTATCTAGTTTACTTGTTACCTCCACCATGAAAAGCTTCAAATCTCATCTAAAGGAAATGTCTTTAAATGTTTATATTATGACCTAGCACTTTTGTAAATTTCTTATGATTCAATTTGTGAATAGAGATGGGGACTGCATCAAGCAGACGGGCTGCAGGGAGTACTGGTCCTTCCTCAGATGTTGTTTGGATTGGCCCAAGAAATTATGTGACCAGAATGGAGCCAAGACGCTACCATTTCTTTGATGGTGATGAGGCTCGTCGGCCCTCCCGTATTAACCCAGCCCTGGAGGAGAGGCGGACCCCAACACCGCCTCCCACCGATGCCCAGCTGAAGGTTGAGAACTGCAACTTGCAGCCAGCAAGCAACAAGTTCTTGCACTACACTGCTGAGCTGGACGAAGTGGATTGGTTAGTTGTCAGGCGAGGACAACCATTCCAGCTTGACCTGACCCTGAACCGCCCATATGACAAGAGCACCGATGATATCAAATTTGACTTTCAGACAGGTATGCAAAAATTAAACAATGTTTTAACATTGTTAACCTTAATCTTGGCATTAAAAGACTCAGTGTCTTGTTTGTTATGCTTTTAGGAAGAACAATTTGATTCTATGTAGAAATCTGTATATCTTCAAGTTGACATATCATAACTTTCTTCCTTTTGTGCAAAGCATTGGAAATAGCACTTCCTTATTTTCATCTCTCAAGTTGTGAGTTAGGATGCCTTTGACATTGTATTACAGCTAAAGTTGATGATGTACATTCGCGCCCAACAAAAGTCAGGGGTAATTTTGCATATTCCTGCAATCTATCCGTGACATTTTACCCGTCATCAAAATTTATCATTGTACATTTCCCCCATTGCGGCAGGAAGCACCAAGAATTTCCAGAAGGGAACACAGGTGCTGGTGTCTATTCGGGATCCACGCCCATCTTTAGCTGGAGGATGGAAGGCAGAAATCAAAGAGGAGAAGGAGAACACGCTGACGGTGTCCGTCACTGCATCTGCCAGTGCTCTAGTAGGAAAATACCACCTCACTGTGCGGACCACTGTCAAATCAGGTGAGGAAGAATTGAATTCTTCAGAAACCTTGGAGCAAACTCCTTTGGTCACTGCCAAAAAACCTTCAGGAAATTACAACACTGTGTCAATTTTTTCTGACTTGTGAAAATTGTAGGGGACTTAACACAGCTTTTCTCTTGGGTACATCGGGGAATCTGCCGGTATAACTCAAGCCCCTCCCCTCCCTCTTTAATTTGAAATTTTGAAATGTACACAGCCTATGCACTAGCCACAGTTAATTCAGTGCCCCCTTGAAAAAATGGATGCATCTGTGAGTGTCCCCCCCTGTTACACCACTCGGTGACTCAAACATTAGACGTTTCATTCTGTCCTCTTAATTATCTGTTGAAGCAGAGGACTCCAACCAACCCCAGAATCACTCATTCAAGGAACATCGTCCGATCTGTCTCCTCTTTAATGCCTGGTGTGAGGAGGATCAAGTCTACCTGGACAAGGAGGAGGAACGGAAGGAGTATGTGTTGAATGAGAGGGGTTACATCTGGTACGGCAACTCAAGACAGCTGGGCAAGAGACCCTGGGGTTTCGACCAGTTTGAAAAGGGTGTCTTTGACGCGGTCATGTACCTACTAGAAACTCATGTAAGTGTCAAGGGTAGACCCAGTGAGTGGTTCAGAATTCTGTGGTGGGAAAAGAGTCAGGGCTGAGATGGGTACACTTTTAACCAAATACCTGATGGAAAGTTATGGGCACAGGATTCTTTTATTTTATTACCCAAATCTCTGCCAAAGATTTTGTTGCACAATTACTGAAAACTTGTTTTGCATTCCAAAAATACACTTGACTCCGCCTTATTACTGATTATTGTAAAAATAAACAATTTCTGATGAAACTTGATCATTGTTCTTAATGAAATGTAGTGTGTATAGAATTTGTGTTAATTCAACTAACATTTTGAATAAAGATATGGGAATTTAATTAGTAATCAATAAGAGTGGGATTGTTTGCTTTTTATGAAAGGTTGATCAGTATGAACGTGGAAGTTCTGTCCTGGTCTCTCGTTCCATGTCAGCTGCTGTGAATTCCCAGGATGATAATGGAGTCTTGAGTGGACGTTGGGATGGCAACTACAAGCCTCATGCTAGTCCATCCTCGTGGTCAGGCAGCCAGCATATTCTTGAGGTTATATATAAATATGACATGGTTTTAGGGTGGATTGTCAATTATAGCTCCCTGAGGTATTAGATGTTGACAAACTAGGGGTATGTATTCATCAAGCACCATTTTTCTGAAAGTTTTGCTGGATACATTAGTTGAACTCAATTTTGTGTAACCTTTCTGCTAGAACGATGTCTGAATGCTCTCAAAGTATTATTATATATATTACTATTATTATAGTATACTTATTATTATATGTAGTATAGTATTATTACTATATATATTATCTATTGCCTCTAAAAATGATGAGGGCGGGTGTAGCACTAAACTGGAACGATTTTAAAATTTAGTACGGTGTCTGAATGTTTTTATCTATAATGCTTTCAGCTTTAGCAAGTGCAGTTGAGCAGACGTTCCAAGTTACCCTGAGAAACAGAGTAAAATCATATTGAGTTGAACTCCATTTTAAGTTTGTGACCACCGTGAAGTGATGAGCAACCTTTTAAAGTTTCACAGATGTAGCTAAAACTTTTTCTGAACACAACTGAGGCAAAGAAGTTTGTCATTTTCCAATCCTACGAGAAGCTACAATTGACTATCCACCAGAAATAAACCATACACCACGTACATATTTATTTTCCATTACAATTTCAGAGCCTAAACCTCATTGCCCTGAAAAATGGGCATTTGAGGCTGCAACCCTTCAAATATTGGTCATTCCAATACTGTCCACCTTCTATATGGAAGGTTTGACAACTATAAATACTACCCAGACAATATCACCACCACTTTTTTCTGAAGGAAACAGACCCCTCGATATAAATGTTATTTTCTCAGTGGACCACTCATCCAGTTGGTTTGTTGACAAGTTCATCTTTTCATAGTTTCAACCTTATCTTAAACTATACAGGAGCACTTCAAGACCAAAAGTCCAGTTCGTTATGGCCAGTGCTGGGTGTTCTCTGGTGTCCTCACCACCGTGCTTCGATGTCTTGGCATTCCCGCCAGGAGTGTCACCAACTTTGCATCTGCCCATGACACCGACAACAGTCTGACCATTGTAAGTTTTGACTTTGGCTCCCTCTGTTGTAAGCTTTTGAGTTGGACAACTCTAACAACCCAGTTAAGTGACCTTTAAAGGGTATATCGAATATAAGTTTGAAATAACTATATGCCTATTTTAGAAATTGACTTTTGTCACTCTCCATGGGCTATATTGCTCACTTTAGCACTTTTTATGAAATTTTAAAACCCCTGAAAATGCACCCTTGTGTCCCATTTAAAACTTTTTTAAAACAATAGTTGATTTTATAGTTTAAAGGTTTTTACTTTATTTTTACCCCACTAACTTCAGAGTTTTAGAACATATCACTTTCCCCCACAGAAACATGTCTTGCTAATTACCAAAAGATTAGGGGAACTGTTGACATGTGGAATTATTGTGTTATTTTCAGGAAAGCAAATGGCATACATACACAGAAGTAACACTCTTACTACGAAGAAATAGCTTTTGTTTTAATGTGTACACATGTACAGGTTTTCTTCCCATGTAATCTTATTTTATAATCACGTTTCCTCTGAATACTCGTCACAGGACAGGTACTATGATGAGAATGGTGAGAGGATGAAACAATACGAGAGTGACTCCATCTGGAATTTCCATGTCTGGAATGAAGCTTGGATGAGCCGGCCAGATGTCCCACCAGGCTATGGCGGATGGCAAGCCGTTGACGCTACACCCCAAGAAACCAGTGGGGGTAAGAGGAGAATGTGACATGGTTACTAGAAATTTACGTTGAAGTTTCATGAAGTTTTAAATGTAAAAGAGCCAACTTTTGGAGGGCCACCTCATGGCTGGAGAAGGGGATCTTCCCCAGAGCTCTGCTGTCCTTTGCCTGAATTTTTTAGGTGAATTTAGAATTGCGAAAACAAGTCTTTGTGTCTGTCTTTCTTCTTTTGGATAATACTTCTCTGAACTTGTTATAAAATCACTGCAGTAAATAAGCAGAAAGACAGTACTCAGCATCATTTTATTCATGGATAGGACTGCGACTTCTTTTCTTTCTGAAGTATATATTTTTTACCAGGACTTCAGACAAGTATTACCACAACGTGATCACATGGATCAATGTCATTGAGCAAAGCCTGCCTGAAGAGCCACTCTTTAATTGAATTTAATTCACAGATATCTACCGTGCTGGTCCGTGCTCCGTTAGTTCCATCAAACAGGGCCAAGTGTACTATCCCTACGACGCAAGATTTGTCTTTGCTGAAGTCAATGGAGACATTGTTAACTGGCAGGTGTGTCAAGGTCTATCTAACTAGGTGCTGTTTCTGATGACTTTGGCAGTTGTGGTCTTCGATCTTTGTCTTTCTGTTGCAAATCAGTTTCTACTACGCAGATATTCTTGTCAAAGTTGATAAGCCTTTCAAGATTAAGTATAGTATACATTTTGACTGCTTTGAGTTTGCCTTTGGAAAATAGAATGCTTTATGGATCACTGAGGGAGGCTAGTTTTATTATACTACTAGATAATAAAGTCAATGTCTCCCACCTCTCCTACAGATTCGGCTTGATTAATTGATGACTGATTATTTGATCTAAATACATTTATTTGAATGAGAAATTTGTTGAAAATTTACCAGTACTTTTCAAAACCACCTCTTCACAAAATGTTTGAACCAGACTGCTTAGCACTAGCACTTCAGAATGTGTGCATTGCTCACACTAATACTCATTTCCATGTTGTGCCAGAGGTCATGTTTATCCTTTTTTGGTTGCTACATTCATAGATATAGTTCTTTTGGCCGTGCATAGCAAGAGAGTGGAAATAGTGCATGCCATGTGACCAGCTGTCACCCAATCATGATACAGAATCTGTCGGCGAGGTGTGATAATTCTACCTGTTTACTGCTAATTAAATGTTCTGTCGCTCGAATGATAATGACATACGCACATTCCCACAACTAGAGATGTGGCCAAGCTGTGCACTGCTGAATTGCTTTTCTTAGCACAGTGCTCATACACAGGGTTCATTCAAACCCAATTATGGTTTCCCCAAGATCGGCCACCATTGCAGTGGGAACGTAAGTGGTAAACAACTGTTGGGGGGAGGGGAATGGTTACATCATTTATCCTGTGCTGTGTATGGCAGTTGTTATCTTTTTTTGTCATTGCTTAAAAGGTCTGTCTACAGCCTAAATAGTGTGAGCAGCACCACAATCTTTGTCTGTGGCAATGGCCGGTATACATTAGGTCACAGGAGTTGTTTGAGGTTACCCTTGGCAAGAGAAAATCCGTCACAGATTGAAGAATTCATTGTTTTGCTGATTTTGTGGTGTCCTTCCAGGTCAAAAACGACCATGAGTTTGAGGTGATGAGCATCAAAAAAAGCAGTGTGGGGAAGAACATAAGCACAAAAGCAGTGGGCTCAAGGGACAGACAGGATCTTACACGGGAGTACAAGCACCCTGAAGGTAAGTGTGATTTTGAAAGGGCCCATGTGATACGATTGTTTTTTTCTGATATCTGTCGTCTATGCAATTTTACATTCTCTTTCTACTTTTTTGTCTGAAAACTATTCGACATCTTTTGGTGTTAAATATATTGAAAAGTGCACTTTTCAAACATGATATTATACATGCTTTTCCAGACAACTAATGGTGCTGTTGCCATGGTGTCATCAAGGGAAGACACATTTCAGTACATATTTCTTTCTCTTAAAATTGTGCATCCAAAATTTGCTCATTGAAACATTACAGAGAAAAGGTTGCTAATTGGCTCATCGCCATGTACCGTCTCGGCATCACCAAGAAAATATTCGGACAACAAAATATTAAAAATCCAGTAGTTTCTTGTGCACGAATCAATGGAACTTGGAGGCTTTCTCGATGATGTGACACCATGGTTTTGCCTATCCTATTTGCTTCCAACACCATAAAACCAGAAAAACCTGTAGGCATAGCTGACTAACATGATAATATAATTCATTTCAAAGGTTAGTCATAGTTGCAGTGATTTTTTTCTTGTTACAAGTCCATTCATGAGACCACAGGGAACAGGGCAAACAAGGACATAGGAAGTATTTCTTGTGCAATGGAGACATTGTTAACTGGCAGGTGTGTCAAGGCCTATCTGTCTAGGTGCTGTTTCTGACGACTTTGGCAGTGATTTCACAGACGTTTATAGCAATTTAAAATATTCTGTTCAGCGCTTGCGTCAGTATGTGTTGCACCCCTGGTTGTTTTTCATTCTCTAAATCTGGTTTAGTAGAATTTATCCTTGTCCATCTACTCTTCAGGCTCTGCAGCGGAAAGAGCTGCCGTCAAAACTGCAGTTTCTTTCGGCACCAGTCCGTGGGTATACGACCATCCTGAGAACACAGAGGATGTACATGCTGAGCTTGAATTGCCAGACCTGTGGGTCGGGGCAGATTTTGAAGTCAAAGTCCCTCTAACTAATAGGAGCCAAGAAAACAGATCAGTGTCGATCACCGTCATCGTGCAAGTGGTATACTACACTGGTATGATTGCTTTTGTTTCTTATGGGGACACTACCTCAGGCTGTAGTGTTGTGAAGTCTCTCACAAGTCTTCGCACAAGCCTCTACACAAATCTTGTTACAAGTCCATTCATAAGACCACAGGTAACAGAGTGAACAAGGACATAGGAAGTATTTCTTGTGGCACAGTTCATTTGAATAGCATGTAACTTGACTGAAGACTGGATGACCAGGGCCTCTGATGGACTTGTTGTGGACTTGTAGGGACTTGTGATAGACTCAACTCAGTATATCACTTTTAGGCTGGTGCATCCAAACAAATTGTACTTTTTCTGTCTTTTTCGAGGGATGTGGCTTTATTTTGGGGACTTTCACTGTTTCAGAAGGTTGGAAGGAAAGATAAAGAAACAGACGCCTCCTAAAATGCCTTAGAATCTTTACTTTTCAATTTTTTTGCTCCTTTTTGTTACAGGGGCATAACCTCTGCCATCGGCAAGAAATCAGTGTAGTTAAAGGAAAGTTCAGTAAAAAGTGCAGTAGTTTACTTCCCTACTTGTTTTGGTTCTGTGTTTTGTTCAGGTGTATTGGCTGCCAAAATCAAGAAGATGGATAAGAAGTTCCAACTTGGACCTGGTCAAAGTGATCAGATAACTATGAGTGTTAATGCTGATGAGTATCTGGACAAGATGGTGGACCAGTCTGCATTCAAAATCTTCCTCCTCGGCCATGTTGATGTAATGTACCATGTTCTACCCTAGCACATGCAGCATGTCCCTCCGCCCCCCCCCCAAACAAACAAAACTGCGACCCAAAGGAGACATTTCTTTTCCCCAAAATTAGTCGTCAGAAAATGTTGTTTTGAGTACAAAATTGAAGCTCAGAGTGTGATCTTTTCAGAATTAGGGAGTTCATTCAAATCTGATGATGCGTTGCTGAGATAATCTTCATTACATAAGACAATTGCTTTTTTGTCCTGACGTGCAGCATCAACTTTTTGGAAATATGTTTTTTTCCGGAAGTGTTTGCACAGTGTGATGCGAATAATTTAAAAACAGTTTTTTGGCCAAAATTTTTAATGTTGATTAAAATTAATTTATTTAAACCCAATGCAGTCAAAACTAAACTGGGGGCATGATTACGGATGGTAATTTACAGATTTGAATTCAGTTTTTGAAAGAGAAATATATTTAAAACACCCCATTGAATTGTACAAAGTATTACTTGTCTTGCATAATTGAAAAAACTCTGCAATGCTTTGTTAACACAATATGAGCTTGAAATGAAATGTCCAGTATCGGTAGAAAAATATTATAAGTTCTGTCCTGATTCCAAATTAGTGTTTCCTGAGTATTAATTTGTGAGAAGAATGGATATTACATTTGGGTTGCATTTTTGCAGATCACGCTGTATATATTCACCCAGCCACTCCACCATAAGTTTTCAAACCTGCCCCTCCCTGTGTTGTAACATATTTATTTTACTTAAAGTCAAGCAGAGCCAAAAGTTAAGTTGTCCAAGGTGAAATGGGTCATTCCGTGAGGTTAGGGCACACTTTGTGATGGTGTCCTTGTTACATCCAAAACTTTTACCACCTATCATGACCTCCAGAGTAGGTCATTTACTATGTAAAAATAACACACACTTCTGCATACAGCCTTGCAAGATGTATAACAATGTCAGTTTGGACTCCACCTACAGGGAAACAGTTGTTCATTTTTACGGAACCCATGTAACAATGGACACCATCACAAATAAACCTCATGGAATGACCCAAATTGCAAACTTGTGCCAAGCTACTTGTGCAGCGTTTGTGTGTGTCTTTGATTTGCAAACCCTTTTGTAACTTCACGACTTTATATCAACTTCAAGCTTGGCATGTGGCTTGGTCTTGGTGTCCGGATTTTTTCTTTATAAGTTAATGTTGTGGTCATTATTGTTAAAACAATTTTTCTGCCAAATTCTGCATGTAGTACTGGGTGATGTCCATATTGATCCCCTCAGTTCAGCGATTCTCATGTACACACACAGAAGCAAGAGCTTAGTCCGTGGAGGTAGAGCCCTCAAGTAGCCTTGCACAGTGGCTAGGCATTGTAGCAAATATTTCTCTGTGACATTATCTTGGATTTTCCAAAAATAACAATGATTCAGTAAGCATTGTTACACAAATCTTGAAAAAATGACCACCATGGGTCAAAATTTGTGAAATTCAACTGTGTGAAGGACTGTTGTTGTAGAATCTTTCCCTTTTCAACTTTGACTTTTTCCAAATGACCACCATGGGTGAGCATTTGTGAAATTCAACTTTGTAAAGGACTGTGGTTGAAGTATCTTGTCCTTTTAAACTTTGACTTTTTTGGTCATAATGAAATCTGCACCTGGTACCATAGTACAATTAAAACCATCAGAAAGTGGTTAACAGAAAGAACAAACCTCAAAACTAATATGAAAAAAAACAAAATAAACACGCAAAAAGAAAGAAAATTTAATGTCTTCTAAATTGGCTTCCCACCAGGAGACTGGCCAGGCCTTTGTAGAAGAGGAAGACTTCCGTCTGCGTACCCCTGACCTTGACGTCAAGCTGTTGCGCCCGGCGGCCAATGACGTGCGTGTCGGCGAGCCAGTTGAAGTAGAGCTGAATCTATCCAATCCCCTGAAGAAGAATCTGACGAACTGTGAGGTCACCGTGGAAGGGGCAGGATTGTTGCCTCCCCGTGTCATGAAGCAGAAGTGAGTACCCAGATTTAGAGGTTTCCTCCTGATCATTATTAGGCCTCGCTCTTTAAATATTAAACTCAAGAACAGTGGGTTCTCCATTGCACTGTCAATCAGAGATAGAAACTTGGTATCTACTTCAGCAAAGTAGCAGCTAAATATGCAATTTTGAAAGTACTTCTTTACGGTGTTTTCTCAGGATTTCAGCTTTTTTGTATCTAGGAGTAACTGTGTCATCGTGTGATACTTTGATATCATTTATCAGGCGCTAATATTGGAATCTGTTTGTGTAATACTCTGTTTTGCTTGCAATATTGCAACAGGGACGTTGTGGGTAGTGGAACGCTCACTCTGAAGGTCGACTTCAAACCTCGGAAAGCCGGGGAGAGGACACTAGTTGCCACCTTTGATTCAGATCAACTCTCCCAGGTGACCGGTGAGCTGGATTTAAACGTTCTGAAGGCCGAGTGATGTGGTTTGTGCTAAGGCAAAGGAAGTTGCTGTATCAGACACATTCAGCAGTCAACTCAGTCAGTTACTATGGGAAAAATGATGGTTAATTTCATAAGATGTAATTGCCTTAAAATGTAGTTATAAAATGGGTTTTGTGTGTTCAAAGCCAGGTTTTGAAACTCAGTTGAATTGAATCTGTCTCCTACTTGCCTGAATTTAATCCCTTGTCTGTGGAGTTTCATGCTCAATGAAAAAGAGGAAAGAAAATCTTACAGGGAAACACTGACCAGTGGTTGACCCAAAGATGGAAAATTTCCATTTACCTTGAATGTTGTAGGCCTGAAAGTGAATTTAATTTTCACGGAGAAAGCTTGAGATGTTAGTTGTTACCATGAAATCTGAAGGTCCTGGTTCCCTAGTACATGTACATTTTGGCTGGCATAACATATTGATAACCAGGATCCACCTACATTCTTCCTCTCTGATCTCCAATTGCCAACTGGTTCAAACTTTGTCGACTAGTATAAATTCTTAAAGAATAGCACAGTCAGATGAGTGAATGGTTCTTGATTGATGTTGATCAGAGTCAAATAGTGTACCAGAGAGATCAAAAGTCACAGGATCAGCCCAGTTTTGCTAAGCCACTGCTGTATATTGGCATTACTGATGTCACTGATGCTGCCTGAATGTCAGTGAGTGCAGTAGACTTTTATAGCCACTGGGCCCAATATCCCAGCACTGATAAACAGCCACTTTGTGCTTATAGAGCTTCCAAGTACATTGTATTTCATTGAAATGGATAAGTGGCAAGCACGTCAAAAACAAGCTAAAGCCTAGAGGGACAAGTTGCTTGATTAATTAAACCGGCAATGTATCAATGGAACTCTCCTGCACTTGCTACCATTACCGACAGGTACTTACAGATCCTCTTCTAATTGTAGGCCTTGATAGGCCTCTTTAATTAAACTTTCATACATCTTCTTTTTATATTCATATGTCATAGTGCTGGACATCTCTATACTTGTTTTCTGCATTGTGTTCTGGTATAATAAACACAATTTTCATGCTGACTGTTACGCAGTACAGTGAAAGTGGTCCCTTACAATTTGATCAACACTAGGCTAATGGTGGATGGATCAAGGGCACTTGCATCGTTGCACATACTATCCAATTTTTTGTTCCAGAAATCCTAACTGTAGTTGTACATGTATGTATCTTTTCCCTTCTACAATGACATCTAAGAAGGGGCAAATTTAAACTCGGTTCTCCTTTTTTTGGCTTGAACCAATTAAAAAAACAGTACTTTCTTGATCCATTAAGGCAGCTTAGATTGTTTGAGACTGAGTAATTAGTGCAGGTTCAATTTCAAAATCACTGTTTATCATTCAGTTTTCTTGTCCACAAGTAATATTGCCTATAAGCAACTACCATTATGTATGCATTCAGGAGTAGAATCCAATGTGTGGCTCATGCTTGGGGTGAAAAAAAAGAAAATGTTTTCAAAAACAAAAAGCTCAATTTACTGTTTTCAATACAAATGAAAACTCAAAACGTGGCTCTGGCGACTTTTCACATTTTCACAGAGCGTTTCACATTTGTGTGTTATTTTGTAAAACCATTGCGTTATTTTGCAAAACTTTTGCGTTATTTCGCGAAACTATTGTGTTATTTCACAAAACTATTGCATTATATCGCAATAAAAAAATGTACTTTTAAAACCTAGCACGACTGGGTTTTTGTAGAAAAGAAAGTACATTTAGACAATATTTTGTTGAAAAGAGCTGTGAAAAGAAGACAAACCCCCCCTCACAGTAAAGAAGTCTGCAAAAGAGAACTGTTAAAACGAAATTGAAGCAGCAATCTACACTCATATTCAACTACGTGTAATAGAGTCTGGAACGCTTGCAAGTACTGAGAGTTCCTTCTATTGGAAGAACGGTTTCAATCCTTCAAGAGGGGAAGTTCAGAGGAGCTGTATCACTAATGTAAAGTGTAAAGGTCCGAAAGTAGAACTCACTATATGCCTCTGTGTCAAATAAATAGTTAGTTTTTTATCGTTGCATTCCATATCTCAAAATGTGTTTTTCAGTCTGAAATATAGGTAAAAGCTTTCATATGCATTTGAGTTTTGTCTGTTTTTTGAAGTAAAATAAGGAAATTATTGTAGACTAAGTCTACACAATGCATGTATATGTGCTGCTCATATGTGCTGTTATTGTATAAAAACTAAATTGTGTTTTAACACAAAAAGAGTCCATTATAGAGAAATGATCATGAAGTCATAATTAAGTCGGCATCTGAGAAATGTCTTTTGTAATCACTGTCTCTCCAAATTGAACTTTTATTAGCTTCAAGCTAATTTACTCAGATCACCAATACATAATGCGGACGCAAATAGCAGTAACTTTGAATCCTGTAAGATAAAAACAGGTGATTGAAAATTTAAAAACATTGTGGTGTATAATTGCACTATTAATTACATTTTTTCTCTTATTGGGTTTCATATGTTAAACTGTCATTTTATTGGATGCAGTAGCTAATAAAATTCGCTTCATGCAACATCTGCAAACAAATAATAGGATGTTTTCATTTTGATGGAACATTTAGCATTTGCTTTGTACAGTTTGCCTAAACAGTCTCTTTCAGTATTTGTGTTAGTTTTAAGTAGTATTTTTGAAGAAATGTTGTTATCGTAACTGCTTTGTTTTACTGCTACCTTTAGTGACCCTTCATAGCTAATTAACTTCAATTAAGATTAAAGTTAATTTGCTAGAAACTATCGAGGAGGTAATACCAGAATTTTGTGTGCATTTCTGCTTGGAAAATATTGTACTGTGCATTCTAACCTTTTACATGTCGGTGGAGAATAAAACTTGTATATGTGGAATTTACACTTGAAACTAAAGTGCCCCTGTCTTCTGTTTTGTTTGAATGAAACAACATTTCCTATGTATGTGCCATGGGAGTTGTCACATGTCAAATTAAATTCATTTTAAACATGCCATGATAGTTGAGTGTAAAAAACCCCAACAGTTTATCTATTTTCCTTGTCAGCTATATCCGAGATTTTGTATGAACTACAGTGTAGGGGGCACAGATTTTTTCTTGTCGCTCTCACAAGGCAAGTAGAAGTCATTTTTATTCAACTTACTTGGCTATTCTTTAATTTATGCACGCCTACAACTTAATATTTTAAACATTTTGTTTTGGTAAAATGTAAAGGGGCAGCTATTTCCCATTTAAGCCTTTCGTCTAAACTGATAGGAAGATCGAGTCCCCCTAGGTATTTGCCTCAGTTTTCGCATATTATTACTTATTAACATTTTTTTAATCATTTATTGTTTGTAATACTTTTTTCGGTCTACGTCTACCGGATGTAGACTACAGGCACTAAATTGTTATTTTAATTGGCCACCACAGTGCCTTTTCCGACCTTTTTCCAGCAGACGATAAATATCAAGTACCTAGACGTCTCAGCATTATTTGGAATCCTATGCACAAACAGTGCCCAACCATCACTTAGCGCACGCGCACTAAATTTGAAAAGAGAACGCCACACGAGGAGAGTCTTCTTGCGGTAAGTTTTTACATGACCAAAATGCTGGTTTTACCCTCTTAATGACCGAAAATGTACTTTTTGTTTGCCTCCTCTCATTTCTGATGCATTAGTGGAGTGCTTGGATAAACTATTTCGACAAGGACATGTAGTTAATTGAAACAAAATAGACCTACTCGTAACTCTATTATCGCGGTATTGAATTTTGCGTTGCCAGTGAGTTCCCAAAACTGAGTTAAAAAGTCTGCAAGTTTCCGTAAGTTTTAATAATGTTTGACAAAAGATGTAATTTTTCCAAATTTTCTAAATTTTCCTTCACCGTGTCAGTGTTATTTCTAACACCGCCCTGCCCTTGGATATCTGTTGCTGCCCGGGGTTCCCATACGTATATCACTTCCCAAAGGACCAAAGGTATCTAAAGTCTGAGACACATTTTAACCGTGAAAGTGCCCATTTTTTTGGAAGTCAAAATAAGGGCTTCTGCGTAAAGCGTGCCCCAATCTCTTTTACAATAGACTTGTATCAATCGTACTTTTACCGGAAAGAGTTCCATATACTGCCACTTGACACTCTGTCGACCCCGGAAGACTGGGCGCAAAAATTGTAAGTGTTTTCTAAGTAAAGGACTTGGATTTTCCCTCCTAAATCATGTAAATTGAACTTTTCTTGACATGTTTTTGCTCTCTGATGGCTTATACATGTAAGTCACTGTAGGGAATAATTACTGGTGTCCGTATAAGGAACTCATTCCCTTTTACCCTCAGGGGCAATTAATAGCGAATGATTACGTTGGCATTTTTGTCACAATTTTTTTTTCTCTTCTTACAAAACTAGAAGAATTTTTCAGTGGATATTTAGAATTTTTAAACTTAATTTTAGATTAAATAGTTCAGGTCCAATGATATAGTTATAAATCTCAGTGAACTGGAATTCACAATGCAAACACTTTTAACAATTGTTTCAGATAATGATAAAAGAATGAGTCCTCCAAGAAAATGAAATTTGCGGTATCCGAATATTTATTATTCCTTCGGCAAACACCAATGAATGTCAAAGTTGTTGCTGCATTTAAGATTTGGGTAAAAAGTTCAGGTGAAAAAAATGACGTTATTCCATGCCGGATTAATAAGTGTAAGGTGACACACTGCAGTTATTCCCATCTCTGTCTTTCTGTGAAGGGTATCTTTAAGGAGAAGACTGGAAAATATAGAGTAAATTACACATAAATGGAAATTTATCACAAATTGAAGTTATTTTGTTTTCTCTGAAAACTAAATCATTGTGTTTATCCTCATTTATTTATAAACAAAGTGCTGTAAAGGCCATTGTAGAAACTATTTCTTGATACCGTGATAATAGAGACTCTACCTTTGCTTGTATATGGTGAGTGGGCAGATTTTCTAAGCTACATTGTATTGTGGAGGAAAATAAATTGAATCACAAACAAAATCATATGAATCAATTTAAAAAGTAAGAGCTAAAAGGACAGGGTAATTCATGAAGGTGAGTGAGCAATCCTTGTTTCGATCTGCAAATGTGATAACTACCCCAATAATATAGTAACCTATCCTACATGTACGGTACACTTACTTGTACATCAAGACCTACAATACATTGTACCATATGTAGCTTTGATGCCAGTCTTCAGTACACTATTACAACTGATGTCCAGGTTTGACTTCTGTGTAACACAACCCAAAAGTTTACAAAAATTTATTATAGTTTTACCTTTACCATGTTTACAAAGAAACCAGGGCAAGAGTTCCACATACATATACCTGTACGACAACACTTAAAGCCCCTGTGGGCAAACCTATGAAACTTGTCTGAAAACACCATTTTCTAAGCTTAGCAATATTTTTATTTCATTTTTTAAGGACATGTAATCAGTTTCTGAATGCTTTTATAACTTTTAAGGGAAACTTAGTTTTGTCTGAATGAGAAACTCTGGAATGTTGCATTTCAGGCATGTCTGGCAAAAAATTCCATATGTCACAAGTTACCATAATTCACACATTTACGCGTACGTGTACCTACTTTGACCCCAATTTTTTCTTAAAGCCCCCCCCAAAAAGAGTCAGTCTATGGTCAGTGCGCGTCGATTTTGAACGTGCGCGTCACTTTTGGTTTCCATTTTTTCCTCTAAATTTTCAAAACAGCACTTTCTATTTCTGCACCACATAAATGTTTGCGAGTAGGAGTCCTGGCCACAAGTCTGAAGGGCAATTTGTTCAAGAAACCAGATGAATCTGGGTAGCTTGTACCTGGTGATAGATCTGTTACGACTGCGTAATGTTGATGTTGAACATAAACAGTAGACCATGGGTAGGTTACATGTACAAGTTGCAGCCAGCTGATATCAATAATGGCGGCATGACGTGCGACGTGCTACTACTAGCCTTTGTTCTTTGATTAAATATGCCACTCATTTTCGTGTCCGTTGCCAATCTTAAAAAGCCACCCCCCCCCAAAAAAAGCTGCATCAATTCTGGAACTTTGGTCTGACCAGAGACTGAAAATTTTTTTTGTGGCCTAAACAAAATTTTTTTGTGGCTTTTCTTTCACTACCACTGCATGTAGTTGAAATGTGACTAAAATCCCAGATGAAATACATGTATTTTGAAGAACCCATCATCATTGAAGAGATAGGAATGCTGTTATCTGCAGATGAATCAAATCGCCTGTAGTAAAACTTGCGTCACCTTACGCATGTCCTGTAAATGCCAGATGGTGCCTCTTGAGTTAGGAACAATTTTTGTGCTTAGTTTGGTGATACATTTTGAGAAAAAACACTTTTATTTGCCATATCTTGAGTTCTCACCACTTCCTCTTTCTCGTTCTCCTAGTTTATCAATTTTGCAATTTAATTTCAAGTTCCAGAAAATCTTTATTTTTTCAAATAAATTGCAATTGGCCTTAATTCGAGTAATTAATCTGGATAGTATTAACAAAACTTCTCTTTGTCTGTTAGTAGAAAAAAGTTTTTAAAAAGTGCTGAGATCCGTGCCCATTGGCAAAAGAAATCTCAAACTGTAAAGTGCACTGTTTTCAGACTCCATATTTTTGATAACGCCCTCAATAGTTAGTAAAAGTTAATTGAAGTCATCACTACATGTAAGTGTCAGTATCGGATGTCCAAACTGTTCAAGAGCGCACAGTGATCATTCACCAGTTTTGTAGACAATTTCGTCTGTGGAGTAGATCTTTACTTTTTATTTCTTGATTCTCCCTCAGGTTGATGAGAGACACAGCCATCATCACTATTGTAGATGCCTGCAGAAGGGATGCCCTGTCCACTTAGAGCAAGAGTTCTTGAATTTTTTAAACTGGTAAGATATTTCAGCGTACTTCTGACTGAAGTTTATTTGAAAATTGGCAATCCTTTAATATCACGATTCATAAAGCGTTATTCACTGCCATTGTTGGAACATTCTAAAAACCAATGTAGCTAGGAATGCCTTAGGGAAGGGTACACACTGAAAACCAGTGAGTCTGTAAGTCAGAAGCTAGTGGATCATCACTTGGCGGCAATTTGGAATTTTCCTAAATTAGTTTACTGTTCACATGTTGGCTATTTCTGGTGATGAAGCCAAGAGTTTTTCTAAAGTGCGCATTGCACTGTAACTCAAGCCTGAAGAAATGTGCAACTCCTCAGGTCATAAATGCAGGGTCTTTCTTTACCAATCCAATCCAGACACTTGACCCTCCCATAAGCCAAATCATGTTCCCAGAATAAAGTCTTACAGTACATGTCCCTGGGCAAAAGGAAGGAAACTAAATTTTTAACATGATATCTTAAACAGTTTCCTGTTAAATTGTTTCAGTGGCTGGGAGTTATACCACATGTTGGCTGGTTTATTTGGGTACCATCTTTGAAGGCCTATAACTTCTTGTTCAGTACAGTTAAATCTCCTAATTATAAGTCAAACCTCAGGGAAGAGAGAAAATCAAATTTGAGTTATCTGATGTGAAGGTTAAGGCAAAAAGGCACTTAAAATATTTGCGTTTGTTTGAGAGTAGCATTTTATGGTATTGTATTTGGACATCAAACTAATTCACAGGACATGTTCCACTTGAAAAACCCTGGTTGAACTTATCACGGTTGAACGTGTAATAGGAAAGTCTGGTAATTTGGTGGTTTTTATGTCCAATAAAGGCACAAAGGTGAAATGCATTAAAGACCAACTCCAACGCAGCTAAAGGCCAGAAGAGCCAAGTCTAATAAAAGTGCCACACATCAATATCTCCCTTGCAATACATGTTTATTAAAACACAGTGTTTGTACCCATTTTTCCTCTGAGTCCAGTCTAGTATTGTAAAAATGGACGTGTCGTCACGACTCATTAGCATCTAACAAATATTGATTTTTGTGATGTATTACCGTAGAGAGGAAATACATGTACATGTACATTGTACCACTGTGTGCGCGCTTTAGGCATGCATAGCACCTGTAGCCACGGTCGACAGCTTGAACATGAAGAATGCTCTCATTCTTCACAAACTCGAAGAATTTCAATCCTGGTTCTTTCGCAGAATTTCTTATGCATGTATGTCCACCAATAATGCAAGATTTTGGCATTATTGCTAATCATGAAGAAAGGAGCACAAACTCTTGATGGAAAAGAGATAATGCCACACAGTAGACCCGGCACAAAGATCGATCCCTGGTACGCAGCGCACGCACATGTAGCTTCATGTTCATGCACATGTACATTCGTAGCGCAACCAGTCGTGCCACGGATACTAGTTTCACTGTTTCTCTGGTATTACATCATTCAAATTTTGTTTTTCAACGATGCCGCCAGCGGTCAGATTGTGGAAATTTTTCATAAACTCAAAGACACCGTTCAAAACTTTTACAAAAATACAGACGCGATACAGACATGAATTGGCAATGAATATATGATTTATTACACACTAAACACAATAATAGTTTCTTTTCAAAACTTTTAAAACCGTTGGAGTTGGTCTTTAACCCTAACAGTCCCAAATCCTCCAATTTCAATACGATTACATACACCCTAGGATGTTAGGGTTAAATCAATTTATTTAAATCATGGATTTAAAAATCGTGATTTAATTCACTCAAGAATTTAAAAATCAAATGTTGAATAAATACTGTACATACATGTATACTTCTTTTTAGTTTGATAGTTGAAAAGAAAAATTGGCTAAATTTTATACATGTATACTGTTTTTCCAAAGATTAAAAAAGTTCTTTTGATTAATGGGAAAAATAGGTACATGTACGTGGGGAGAATCCTTCGGATTTGAAACCTGGTGGAAAGTGGATGTTTACAGATTACAAAGTCAGCAAAAAATTAAATCAAAGAACCCTGCTTTCCACTCTGTATGCAATATTGCTCTCAGTAATTCATACCTTGTAGTTTGTTTCACATGTACATGTTTACGTGTAGTATACCAGAGATGGGGGTTAGTTGAAATGATATCACAAAAATGTCTATATCAGATTTTATTTCAGAAACAGTTATTAAACCCATCCATTAGGCGGGCTCTGACATCAATGAACCAATGTCAGATCACTTATTGCAACCAGATCTGCGTGAAAAAAACAGGCCTAAATTTGTCTCCTCTCTGACTCCTGTTGGTGGCAGTTTCTTTCATAGAATCTTATTCTTTCAATGGAAGGAGTTACGTCAGTTAAACAGAGTGTAGGGTTTAACATTATGAGATTTCAGCTTAAGAAAGCTGAAAATTTGTTGCTCGGCAAATCAGGTTTGAATTAAATTTCATCTGACTTTGAGCACTCAATTTTTCTGGTGAATTGTACCTGTATGTGCTTTGAAAGATGTGTGAAGGTGTGGCACAACATACAGGAAAGTATCTTTTTCTTGTCCACATTCAAAAATGGATTATTGGTTTGATTACATGTATTTCTTTGATTGTCCCTTAGGTTGAGGAGAACAACTGCTTACATACATGTGCTTGCCTGTAGAAGCTAGGGGTGCTCTGTTTATCTGGAACATCAGTTCGTGGACTTGTCCTAAAGGTAAGATTCTGTACATGTTAATATTTCTGACTGGAGTTGGAAATTGAAATGTGAGATTTGAATTTGAAAGTTGGCATTCATTTTGTATCATGATTTAAACTTTTAAGCATCATGAAAATGTTTTGGCCAGGAAGAAAGCTTACGAGACATAAGTGTACACATTGAAAACTGGTGAGATGCTTCTCACCAGTTTTCAGCGTAGCGGATTGTCACTTAATGAAACATACATGGGTAATTCCAGAAATTAGGGCTCCATTTTTTGTGTGTCCCTGTTACATTTGAAATATGATTGATTTTGTAAGTTCAGAACACATTTTCTAATTTCCAAGAGCGATAAATTAATGCAAATTACCTGCCAAATAAATAGTAATAGTTTGAAAACAATTCTGGTGTGATTTCCATGTCAAATAACAAAGGTCATGTGTAAGACGGACATAAAATGTCCCTAATTTCTGGAATTACCTACATACATGTACATACGTGTACATGCACTAGTACATTTATCTTATTACATGAATCACTACAGTAAAATCTCATTAAGTTGAACCTTAGCAAAATCGAGCAAAAAGTGAGATACCCAAACTTTAAGTGAAGCTAATAGTTCCAAATATGTTGGCAGATGAGTCGATAGGCAAGCTATATAATAACAGTATACATTGGGTTTCACTCAAGATTGCATTCTGATTTTTTTGATGTCTTTTTCTTGTCACTTATAAGTGGTGCATTTCTGATCATAATAAACATCATTTTGCGCTGTTTTAATATTTTCTGAACCAAAGAGCATGTTTTACCAACAACAGTGAGGGATCTCCCCTGTATCACATCGCATTTTGCAATATGTTTGGGTAATTCTGCGATCCTTTTTCATAATTACATCACAGTTGCCAGATGCAATTGGCAATATAATTTGCAGTGGATATTTCCAATCAAAGAATGAAAAAAATCCTGGAAGATCTTTGATAAATACGGTAGTTACATGTACCTGAACAATTATTAGTAGAATAAGTCAAAATAGGATGAAAATCCCACAGCGTGATCACTGTACCATTCCGCAGTGACCACTGCACGAAATGTATGTACATACATGTATGTAGGCAGGCTGTACATGCTACACGGGTATTTCTGATTGCCCTAATTGGCTTAACCCGACATTTTTGCCACACCAGCTCCAAAAAGTCTAGGATGTGATGTACAATGTGTATGCTCCATAACGTACTTAAATTCCTCCACTACATGTACCTTCAACACTGTCCCATCGCCTGTGGCGCCTGCTGTGTCTTCAGTGTTGAAGGCTAACCTGTCTACTTGTCAATTTTAATTTCAGGTTTTTGCCCTTACCTGACGTCTATTCATAAACACTGTATACTCAGTGCTATACTCAGTAGCTCTGAGAATACAGTGTTTATGAAAATATGTTGTATTTTGGGTAAGGCAAAACCTGTAATTACGATTGACGTCTCCCTGACGCAGAGTACATCTTGAAATACATGTAGTTTGTTGCCTTGTTGTACTGCAATCATCAGGAGCTCAAAGTACCGGGTCTCTCCATCAGGAGAGAGCACCTTGGCACAAGCACATGTACTCTCGTAGCCCTCTACTGTACAACCGTCAAGGCACCTTCTGCAGAACTCCATACATGAATATTCATGTATGTGTATCATTTCCCTCTATGCACCATGGTTGTGAAATTGATACAGGTGTATCGACACTTCTGGTAGGCTTTGCACTTATTCCCTCTTTCTAATATTCTGGGTGCCACTGTCCATTGAATTGTCGTATGCTTTTGCCAAGTTCTGAGCAGAGGATCAAAGGCAGGCCGTAGTCAATGGAGCAACATCCTGTATTATATGAAGATCTTGGCAATGAGGGCACTAATATGTATATATTGTATGAAATATAATTGGAATTCTAAGAATATAATGAAGTGCAAGTCTTCAGAGGGCTTGCATTCCTTTCCTTGCGATGGGCATGCAAACCAGTCAATATATTCAAAGCTTTTTTGCCGTGATATTCAAATAAGTCAACGTGCATGGCCCCAGTATATAAACCAAGGCAGGATGGCGTGAGGCATCTTTTCTGAGAGGCAAATTAAGAAAGAAGCCAGTAACTAGTAGATTCAGGGTGGGAAAACCTATCCTTGCTCGATTCATGCTGAAAGTGGGGTGGGAAACCGCTTTAACTTGTACTATAATTATTATTTATAGAATTTCAATTATATTTCATACATTGACATAATTTAGGAATTCTATCACATAACATTTGTACAAGTCTTCAAAGGGTTTGCATGTTCAAAGCTGAAGGAGACTGTAATAAACGACAAATGGAGTCCAAACACAGTGGCATATACGTCAGTTATATTGATGGGTTCATCGGCTTTATGTATTTAGAACTGCTTTTCCAAATGATGGTTCTTCCACTGCTCTGAGACAAAAATGAGCAAAGGTATTAACCTTTGTCCAGTCTGCCGATTTTAAGATTTCATGTAGAGCTACCCCTTGGGCTTCACTTAACACACATGTCATCCCCCTTACTGAGGTTGAAGACATTACGGTTTATCCGGTTTCTTGTTGACAGAAACAATGAAATCAATCTGACAACCAGAAAATGTCTGCCTTATCCATCTGCCCAAAGTAATCTGAGATTAATTTTTTTTGGAAATATCTCAAATGTCCAGTGTTCACTGGACTATCAGATGCACAAGAAGGTATCAAAACATAATAGTTGTTTGCTTCAGAGGCTGCATGGCTTGATTCTGCTGGCCTGGATTGGGTATGCTTACCCCAGTTAAGCCCTCTATGGTAACCGCTTGTAATTAGTGAGTGCCCGTAATTAGGGCGGTCCCGGCCAGAATTTGATCGACCTTGAGGTGAACCTCAGAATCTGTGAGGGTTTGTTTCAAAATGATGGCCTGTCCCTTGTTATTTGCTGGCATCAGATGAAGTCAACTTCTGGCCAGCTTTATAGGCCGCGCTTACTTGCTTCATTATTAGAAGCATTTACATGTAGGTCCTCCCCAAACAGCAGTTCAGAAACTGGTATGGAGTTGGAGCACAAACTCTGTCCATTGGATTCAGGCATGGTTTCAGCTTGTCTCTGCGTTTCATGCTGATCTGATACAAGGCAATGTCTGCCAAACTAATGCCATCGAGGGCCAGTTCTTTGATTCTTGCAATCTGATGCTGGACAGCAGACTTTGCGGATTCTCCCAAATCCATGAGGATACAAACGAATGGCAAGATGCCCCTAATGACATGTTTTTGTAATTGCTGAAGGGCCCCATCTTTAGACCTACGGGTCTCCAGAATCATTGCCCACAAATCGGGATTGACTCGGGGGGGGGGAGGGTGATGCCAGAGCTGCTGTTTTAGCCGGTGAGGCGTATTTATCAGCAATGGTCAAGTAGACCTCCTTTTTTTATTGGCAATGTAACTGCTTAAATAGTTCTGTCAGCCAAATTAGGAATCACTTCTGGGCCAATGACGCCTCAGTGGTATCGTACATATCTCCTCAAGGAAGATTAGTCGCCCTGACCAGCGGCATGGGGAGAGCTGGCCACCATGTTACTGGCCAGCTCAAACCTTTGTTGTGGGTCACATATTAGCAGGCACCCTGCTGACTAAAAAATTCATTCTCAAAGTATTCTTGGGCAGCATCTTGGCTGACTGTCAAAGCTGTATCGGGCCATTGATTTTTGTCTAGTAAGGTACCTAACATCTCTTGCATATATTTGCAAGGGAGGATAATAAATGATTTATCTCCTGGGAATTAGCTTGAAGCTTCACTTCTAAGCTTTGGTTAGTTGAAGTGATCTGTGATAGCTATGCAGCACACGTCACTAGAGTGAGTAGATGTGGCCAGCTGGCTGAATGTGTACTGTGCTATAACTTACATATGGGCTTCGGCTCAAGTTGCCACTCACCAGTGCCTTGATCTGAACATCATGCAGCAAAACAATTAGTTGCTAAGAATTTTCTCACGGACATAGATGGCGCTGACGTTGCCAAATACATTGGGTACGTGAATGACGGATCAAAGTACAGTAACTTCGTTGGGGAAATTCTGCCTTGGTATTGAGAGGGCGGATCATTGTATGCACTGAAGTTCGTTGTCAGAATTCTGCCCCCTTATTGGGAGGGCGCGGATCATAGTGCGCATTAAACTGTGTCGTTGGAATTCTGCCCCCTTATTGGGAGGGCGCGGATCATAGTGCGCATTAAACTGTGTTGTTGGAATTCTGCCCCCTTATTGAGAGGGTGGATCATAGTGTGCACTTAACTTTGTTGTCGGAATTCTGCCCCCTTATTGGGAGGGCGGATCATAGTACACTCTCTACTTCGTTATCGGAATTCTGCCCCCCTATTGGGAGGGTGGATCATAGTCTGCACTTAACTTCGTTGTCGGAATTCTGCCCCTCATTGGGCGAGCGGATCATAGTATACAAAAAGTTTGTTGTCGGAATTCTGCCCCCTTATTGGGAGGGCGGATCATAGTACACACTCTACTTCGTTATCGGAATTCTGCCCCCTTATTGGGAGGGTGGATCATAGTCTGCACTTAACTTTGTTGTCGGAATTCTGCCCCTCATAGGGAGAGCGGATCATAGTATACAAAAAGTTC